TACAGTCTTCAGTTCACAGCCCAGTCTGTAATTTTGTGTTACATCATGCACTGTTCCAGGAGGTAGAGCTGCCTATGATTTCATAGCACAGTTGATTTTCTAGCTTAATTCCTCAAGGGACCTTAAAGGAAATGGAAACCTACAAATAAAATGAAGAAATTAAAATACATTGGTAACTCTAAAATCAGCATTTATTTGTGTTAATAAAATGCAAAATCGTAATGATCCTTTATACTGGATTTGATTTTAGTTCTGCAATGGTTCAATAGACTCCTGCTAATAGGTTCCAATCTCACTTTGTCTTTACTTTGTGATATATTTTTGTAGAAGAGGAATTCCTCTCTGAGGGAGGTGATACTATGGAAGGTCTCTAATTGTTCTTAACAGGTTTTAAGTTTTCTGGGCTACTGTCGGTCTATAAAAAAGCTGTGATTTAAAGTCAAAGTCCACCTTTCATCCCAAAATACCTTATTAGTTGGGTAATTAATTACCTAAGTTCCCCAAGTTGGAACACAGATACCAAGCTACTGAAAGACAAAAATCTTTCATTTTTTAACTTCTGAAGGAACAGTCTCAACTCATTCTAAGGCTTGTATATACATTGTCTGGTCTTTTTGGACCAACTAAACTTCAGTGTAAATCAAAGGTGTTCTCTGACATGGTGGTTTCACATACCTCTAAAAAAACAAGGGTTTGTCCCATTGTGCTAAATCAAGGAGTGTGTGGTGTGTGCTGGAGGAAAATCCAGTCTAGTTTGGTTTCAGATGCAGGCTAACTCTGTATGTAAAAATCTCTGTAAAAGTTAATCTTTCCTCCTTTGCTGTTAAGAAAAGTGAACTATTTTAGAGTATCCCATCACAAACCTGCCTCAGGGCAGCCAAAAGTGAAGAATGTTGTGCTGAAAAGATGCAGGAATGCTTTCAGAGGGCATTGCCTACTGTGGGAATCAGAGAGCAATTGTTTTGACTTCATGTTCTCAAGAAGATTTTGTGACACGGTGTGCCAGTTCAGTAACTCCTTTAACTTGTACCTATTCTAAAGTTATGTTACTAAAAGCAAGCAATTTTTGTCGACTCAGTTGTTAAGCCTGTTCAGGTATAGTTGTGAATAAAATAAAGTTAAAAGATAGGTCAGTTAATCTTTTGAAAAGGACTTGAGGCTGCTGGTGGATGAGAGGCTGGGCATGAACCAGCAATGGCTACTGGCAGCCCAGAAAACCAGTTGTGCCCTGGGCTTTATCCAAAGCAGTGTGGGCAGCAGGGGAGGGAGGGGATTCTGTCCCTCTGCTCCGTTCTGGTGAGACCCACCTGGAAGACTGCATCCAGCTCTGGGGCCACAGCCTAGGAAGGATATGAACCTGCTGGAAACAGTCCAGAGACCAGCAAGGTGCCAAGATGAATTGAGGGAAGGAGCACCTCTGAAGAAAGGCTGAGAGAACTGGGGTTGTTCAGCCTGGTAAAGAGAAGGATTTGGGGTAACCTAGCTGTGACCTTCCAGTACCTGCAGGGAACTTAGAGGAAAGATGGAAAGAGACTTAAGAGCATGGAGTTATAGGACAAGGGGGAATGCTCCACATAAAGAGTAGGTTTAGATTAGATATTAGGAGAAAGCTCTTTACTGTGAGGGTGGTGAGGCACTGGCACAGGTTTCCCAGAGAAGCTGTGGTTGCCCCCTCCCAGAAGTGTTTAAAGCCAGATTGGATGGGGCTTGGAGTAACCCGGTCTAACTGAAGGTGTCCCTGCGCATGGCAGGGGGTTGGAACAAGATGAGCTATAAGCTGCCTTCCAATCTAGGCTGTTCTAGGAAATGCTGCTCCTGATCGGAGCTGGCCTTGTGCTGTGTCCCATTTCCATCACCAGCTGAGCTGTTCGTTTGTTGCTCGGACACACCCGCAGCAGTTCAGCTCGGACACACCCGCAGCAGGTCGGACACACCCGCAGCAGTTCAGCTCGGACACAGCCGCAGCCGGTCGGACACACCCGCAGCCGGTCGGACACACCCGCAGCAGGTCGGACACACCCGCAGCCGGTCGGGCACACCCGCAGCAGGTCGGGCACACCCGCAGCCGGTCGGACACACCCGCAGCCGGTCGGACACACCCGCAGCAGGTCGGACACAGCCGCAGCCGGTCGGACACACCCGCAGCCGGTCGGACACACCCGCAGCCGGTCGGACACAGTCCGCAGCAGGTCGGACACAGCCACAGCCGGTCGGGCACACCCGCAGCAGGTCGGGCACAGCCGCAGCCGGTCGGACACACCCGCAGCAGGTCGGACACACCCGCAGCAGGTCGGGCACACCCGCAGCCGGTCGGACACACCCGCAGCAGGTCGGACACACCCGCAGCCGGTCGGAAGCGCCGCTGGGCGGGAGCGCCCGGCCCGTCCCGGCCGTGGCGGGGCCGGTGCCGCCACCGTGCGGCCGAACCGCGTCAATGCCCGGAGGCGCCTCGTGCCGAAGCTGCTCCTCTCACAACCAGCTGGAGTTGCAGTTATTCCTCCTCTTCTTCCTCCCCCTCAGGCTTTGCGGCTGTTTCTGTTTCGGCTTTATGAGGTGACAAGCCAAACTGTCCAACAAAACATCGCTCATTGTCACTTACTATTGCCTGTGGGAGATGCCTGGAAAGGTCAGACCATTGCCTCCAGGTAGCACAGTGAATCCTCATGTTTTAGTCCTCGAAGTTACCCCCTTTTGTCACAGAAATGTTTGTGTGTAGAGAGTAGACATGAGTCCTTCTTACTGGAGTATTGGTAGATGCTGGAGCATGTCCAGAGAGGGGAAATTAAAATGGCTGAGAAGTCTGGAGCATCAGTCTTATGAGGAGCAGCTGCAGAGACAGGTGGAAACTGCTTGGAGAAGAGAAGGCTCAAGGGAGACCTTATCACTCACGTGTCTGAAAGAAGGCTTTTCCAGACAGGTGGGTGTTGGTCTCTCCTCCCAAGTAACAGTAAGATGAGAGCAAACAGCCTCAAGTTGTGCCAGGGGAGGTTTAGATTGGCTATTAGGAAAAATGTCTTCAACAAAACCGCACTGGAACAGGCTGCTCAGGGGAGCGGTGGAGTCACCATCCCTGGGGGGATTTCAAAAGCAATTAGATGTGGTGCTTGGGGGCATGTTTCAGTGGTGGAGCTGGACCGGTTGGGCTCTCTGACCTCAAGAGTCCTTTCCAACCTGAACAGTTCTATGGTGTATGCTTCATGCTCCTCAACTGCATTTCTGTTTCCCAGTTTAGCTTATCTGGTCGTTTATACTGGGTTTTAATCCCTTCCAGTTCATCCACCCTTATAGAGATCAGCACAAGCCATAACACACTGGAAGTCTTTTTTCATTTCTGCCATCACCACTTACTGCCACAAGAGCAAACTCCAGAATCTGAGGCAGGACAATATTTTAGTTGCTTTTCCCATTTGATAACTGGAAAACTGCTTAAAGGAGGGGAATGGTAATGTTTCCTCCTCTCTAGCTACAATCAATACTCTTCTATAACTCAAAATCTGTCTCTGCAGTTGCTCAACACAGATTAGTTTCTACTGTCTCTCCCCATTTCTCTATCTTTACAATGGGAAAACAATCCCTTTTTTTCTTTTTTTTTTCCCTTCATTGGTTTGTGGTTTTTTTAATCATAGGATATATTCCTCTGCCACATACATCTACATCTATACATCACTTCCAGATTAGTTAAATGTTATTAGGAAAAATGACCAAATAGGGGGGAAAAAGCAGCCTGGGAAACTTTACTCTGAACACGGAAGGAATAAAGCGCTGGGTGAAATGGCTCAGAGGAGGAGGCTTCATGCAGAAGACAATTGATGGACAGGTGGCTGCTTTGCATCAGGTTGAATAATTTTGGTTGGTTCTCCAGATTCTCTGAAGACCCTGATTGAAACTGATGCTGTTCACAGTCTGTCACTAAGGAGCTGTAATCAAGTAGGGCTCAAATACTTCCCTCCCCCATGCTCTTCGTAGCTGCTGCTGTTAGATAGGAAAAATCTTAGTTTAACTCTAGCATTGCTTAGAAAAATGTGACCTCTGAGCTGGAAGTGTCATGCTTCTGAAGGGAACGTTCTGTAACGCAGAAAGATAGAATCTTTTTATATATCACTGCTTAAACAGTGATCCAAAATAGTCTGGAACTGTCCTGACTTACACTGAGTCCAAGGCCTTGCCTGTTTGGCAGCCTTCAATGCACTCTTATTATCAAATCCAATCTGTAGCAATTAAATTGCATCTTGGCATTTGAAGGTGTGTTTGGACTTTATGTGGGTTTTTTTGTTTGTTTGTTTTGGTTGATTTTGTTGTTGTTTGTTTTGGTTTTTTTTTTGGTTGTTTTTTAGTTGTGTCTTTGGGTTTTGTTTTTTTTTTTTTTTCTCCACAGAATAAAGCGAATGGTTTTTTTTCTCCTTCCTGCAGCGAATGTTTTTTTCCCTACATCTTGGTTGTGTTTCTCCTTAGGTCAGGGAAGGCTGGTGGGTTTGCCCTCAGTTTGGAAAGGGATTGGTGGAACTCGGAAGCTTTTTCAGCAATCTTTGGCAAACAGCGCTTGTTGAACGTCACCGTATCTACCGTGCATCTCCTCCCGTGAGCCAGGCTGCAGTTTCGGGCTGGCTGCGGAGGAGCCCGGGGCTGTGGAGCTGCGCCGCAGTTTTGGCGAGCTGAAGTTCTTGGCCATTCACCCTTTGTCGTGTCCCCTCAGTGTCCCGCCCTGCTGCCCGGTGCCCCCTCAGTGAGGGGCGGTACCGCCGTGTCCCCCCGGCGCCGGGCCGGGCGGTACCGCCGTGTCCCCTCGGCGCCGGGCCGGGCCGGGCCGGGCGGTACCGCCGTGTCCCTCCAGCGCCGGGCCGGGCCGGGCGGTGCCGCCGTGTCCCCTCAGCGCCGGGCCGGGCCGGGCCGGGCGGTACCGCCGTGTCCCTCCAGCGCCGGGCCGGGCCGGGCGGTACCGCCGTGTCCCTCCAGCGCCGGGCCGGGCCGGGCGGTACCGCCCCGCTGACGGGATCCGGCGCGACGGCGGCCGCGCCACTTCCTGGCGGCGGGAGCGGGGCGATGGCGGCGCAGGACGTGCTGGGCCAGACCGCCCGGCTGGCCTCGTCCAGCGCCCTGCTGCAGGTGCGGGGCCGCCCCTCCCTCCTTCCTCATCCTCCTCCTCTTGCCGCTGCTGCTCGGCGGGGCGCCGCAGGTGCTTCCCGTGCGGCTTCTTTCGCAGGTGCTGTTCCGGGTGGTCACGTTCGGGCTGAACGCCTTCACCCTCCGCTACCTGTCCCGGGAGCTGCTCGGCGTGGTCAATGTCAGGTGAGGGGCGGGCACCCGTGAGGGCTGTGCGGCAGAGCTTGTGCTGCTCTCTCCCTCTCACTGCGAGCCTCTGATCAATGCTCCTGGCCGTGTCGCACTGTTGGTCATTTCATGCCTCCCCAGGTCTGTTTTGGCCTGAAACACCGGTAGCACTGTTGTGTGTTTAGGCCGTCAGTTTGGGGTGGAAAAACTAGATACAATGTGTTTTTCCTACAGCATATACTGTATCTTCACAGTTGGTCTGCAGCATGTGTTCTTGCCATTTGAAACATCGCGCGAAATTACTTTCAGTTTTTAGGAGATGGTGATAATTTTACCTCGTATAACCATGTTTTCACACCTGTAGGAATTTGTCTGCCAGGCAGTCGTGGGTAAAAACTGATGCTACTGCATGAAGGATTTACAATTTATAGAAAATGAATTGTTTTCTCTCCTTTTTTTTTTTTTTCCCTTTTCACCCCCTTTAGGCTGACTCTGCTGTACTCAACAGTTGTCTTCCTTGCCAGGGAGGCGTTTCGCAGAGCTTGTTTGAGTGGAAGTGCCAAGAGAAACTGGACCAAAACAATTAATCTCCTGTGGCTGACGTAAGATACCCTTAAAAGTTTACTTCCTTAGAATATCTCGTTTTTGTCTGGGAGCTCACAGAATGAGAGGAAGTGTTTATTTACTGAGGTAATTATTTCAGAAGCCTCTGTTATGTTTCTGATTTAGGACTGTTGTAGGAAGTTGCTCGAGTCTGGTGCTGTAGCAGTTGCTCGAGTCTGGTGCTGTAGCATTTTTGGACTTGATTTTTTGTTGGAGCACATGAAGAAGTTCATTGCAAAAAGTGCCATTTTTTCTGTTGCTTGACTTTCATTTGGGCTGTAGCTTTTGAAGGAAAACCCTGTTGCACCAATATGTAGCCCTTTGTTTTTTCTTCCTCTTTTTGCCCAGTTTTGTTCTTTTATTACCCAGTGTGCATTTGTGAACCTGCAACATAAATGTTTGGGTAGGAGAGATACAAAATTAAACAACAAGGAGGAAGTAGGGTTGCCTCTTTCAGCTGTGGTGCTGTTTATAGCAGAACAGCTTAAAGTCCACAGGACACTGCAACAAGCGATCACACATTGCAGTGTGGATAAAGTGGATTTTATAGCTTGTTTATCCCTCCTGGTTCCTGATTCTCTCTGCTTTCTACCTCTGTCAGCTCTAGCTGCTGTGTAGCCCCAGCTGGGCTGGGCAGGGCAGTAAAGTTACCTGCCTGATACAGTTGAAAACTACCCCTGCATGATCAAATAGTATTCTCCCACTGGGGCACCTGACTTTCCCTGGAACTGCCCAGCTGTTAACTGGATCTGGCCCAGGAAGGGGGGGGTTATGGGTGGTCATCTGCATCCAGGTGTGAAGAAGAGGGATTGTTCCTGTCAGGGAAAGGTATAATAGTAATATTTAAAATACCTTGTTTCTGTACTGTAGTCAGCTTTCTGCTGTGTGATAGCCTTTCCAGCGAGCTTTGGCAGAGATGACACTGATTGTGTGTATATTTTTGTTTTAAATTTTTCCTTATAGAGAAGCATAACTTCAAATGAAGGTTACCTTTGGTGAAGCATCTGAAATACGTGTTAGGAGCTTGATGTCTAATATCTTAGAGGTCTGATAGTGTGAGGGTCAAAGAGATTCTTGCTGCAGTGATGTAAAACTTGATGGACTCTGTCAGGAACTCTCTTTCTGAAGCAGTGTCAGCAGAACAGGATGTGCAAGCTGATGTGGGATCAGAATTGTTTGCTCCTAAGGCACAAAAATGCAGATATTTGACCTAAGGGGTCTGGAGTAGAAAATGGGCAACTCATAAAAAATGTTTTCTGTAGAGTGCCTTAAGGGTGTTCATTACAAAAGAAAATATTCATTCTTGGTATGGTAACAATAGGAATTAATTCCTCAGGGCCTATTTTTGTGTAATCATTGTGGCCATATGTGATATTACATATGTGCATATGTAATCTAATTTTCTTTTTTTTTTCCCTGTTTTGTTGGGAGTTTTTGTTTTGTTTTTTGTTTGTTTGGTTTGGTTTTTTCCCTATTTTTTTTTTTTTGTTTCTGCTGCAGTAAAATTTCCATTAATTAGTTTTTATATTTTTTAGAGTCCCTCTTGGTGTCTTTTGGTCTCTTACCTCGGGCTTAGTCTGGCTGTACTTGCTTGAAGTACCCGATCCTTCTGTGGTTCCTCACTATCAGGCTGGTGTAGTGGCATTTGGTCTTTCTGCCATTATTGAACTCCTGGGAGAGCCATTCTGGGTTTTAGCACAAGCTCATTTGTTTGTGAGACTTAAGGTTAGTAAAATCTGTGGGGTGTGTGCATGTGGGGGGAATCTTTACTGAAAAGAACAGATTACTGACTTAGTTCTTTGTATATTCAAGCATATAAAACCCCCTGTGTGTACTGTTTAGTACTGCATGGCCTAGTTTGTGACATACCCAGGAATTTGTACCCATTAAAATAAGCAAATTGGTTTATTTAGACATTATCACCTTCGAGTTCCTTTAATCCCGAAACATAGGTTTTAACTGGAGGGAGAGATACTGCTTCCACAATTCTACATGAGATATTGAGACTGTGATAGTCTCAAGCAAAGATTTTTTCCATATGTCCTGTAAAAAGAGCGGGGAAAATGCAATGAAACTATGAAATGCTAGAATAGAAAACATACAGAGCAATGACAATCTAAGCTGGCCAGCTCAGCAAAAAGAAACTGCCATAAAGTCACACTGACTTTGAAAATCTTACATTCCTACATCAATTCTGTGCATTAAACATATGTATTTTAAGCTTGTGTACATGCTTAAGTTGCCAGAAAATAACTCTTCTCTGTTTTGTGTTTCTTAAAGGTAATTGCTGAAAGCCTTTCAGTAGTGTCAAAATGCATTTTGACAGTTACTTTAGTAATCCTTTATCCTCACTGGGGCCTTTACATTTTTTGCTTGGCTCAGGTAAGTTCCCTTTGTTCTCTCTCACCTGAATTTTAATTTTCCTTTGACATTTAGTCTGCTGAAGAACTTTGTGGAGCTGAGAGAAAAAGCCCCTGGGAGGTTTAAGATTTAGAATTTATATTTAGTATTTTCCTGATATTCATTATTGACTTGGTGCTTTGACATTCAGTTAAAGGGAGGTAGAATGAAACTCCTTCCATCTGTGAAGGCACATCTTGCAAATAAGGTTATGTTATTCTACTCACACAGAACCTTATCAGCCTAATCAAGTGCTAATCAAGTGCAATTAATTCAGGTTAAAACTTTTTCTTGATGACAATGAAGGAGGGATAATTTTTCTCCTTCAAGTTTTTGCCCTGGCTTTCCATCTTATAACTGATGGAAATTGGAAATGTTCTATGAGGTGAGAGATGTAGGTAGTAGCTACTCTGTCAGCTTGATTTTTGATTGAGTAATTGCTTTATAATTGGACCCTCACAGTTCTATAAATGCTGAATAAAGCAGGAAAATTAGCAAAGGCCTATGATAACCTACATGTTAAAAAAAATAGAAACCTCAACAGCATTCTTAAGAACTGTTCAAATCCTTACCTAGTTTAATATTTGGTAGGCATAAGAGCTACTTACATTTTCTTCTCACTGTATTTTTCACCTAGTATATAATTCTGCATTTCTAAGTTAATTTGGTTTCACTGTTTTTCTTTTCTCCTTCCTGATCTTCCCAGCTTTTATATGTCAGTGTTCTGGTAATGTGCTATGTGATTCATTTTGTCATGTTTTTGGGATCTCCTGAAGCCACAAAGAAATCATTTCCAGTTGCTAGGGTGAAAGCTCTATTACCTAGCTTTGTGGAAGATGAGGTAAGTTGTGCAATTTATTTCTTGATTTTCTTCTTAAAATCTCACGTGAAGGTACTTTGAATGTTGCTTAGACTGGGGAGTAAATTGAGTAGTTTCGGGGTTATTTTTGCACTATAGAAAATATGATTGATTAAATAAAAAATATTGCATAGAAATTGTGCTTGAAGTTTATATTAGTAAAATTCTCGTCAGAAAAACTTCATGAAACTTAAACTCTTTGTGGTTTTGGGTTTGTTGTTGCCGACTTGGTGTGTGCCAAGTATTAGTAGACATTAACTGGAGGTAGGCCATCTGCACTGTCAGGGGAATGACCAGCTATCACTGGATCTGAGGCAGAAAATAAACCAGAACCATGTAACAGTGAATTTTTTGGTACTTTGAACACAGCACAGAATAACCATAATGTTCCACAGCATCCTAGAGATACACAAATATCTCTCAAACGAAAATGAAGCAAAGAAAGAAATTAAAAGACTCGTTGAGAAAGACAGCATTCTGGATAAGATTTACAGATTGAAAATATACAGGTGGTTCTTGGTTGCAAGTCTTAAAAGGACAGTTTGAAGAGCAGTAAACAGTTCATGTCTCCAGTGAGGGTAAAGTTATATTGGCACTTTAAACACTCTGAGTGTTCCTAACTCTAGCCTTGATTAGTATTTTCTGTAGAATGCTCTTATGGGTACTTTCAGCAGCAGCAGCACTTGTCAACAAGGGAATCAGTTTTTGCCAGATCCGTGATGTTAGTGCTTGAATTCAGCAATATTTTACTAGTGGTTAATAACTGTGGCATTGTGGGTTTCCTTACCACTGCAGTTGGAGCTACCCTAGCGTTGCACTGCCTTGCTGTTTTCTATTTCTACTCTGTAACATTAATCACATTTGTTACATTTCAGTATTTTTTTTCAGACCTTTGTTAACTGGAAGGAAGCACGCTTGACATGGAGTTTCTTCAAACAATCCTTCTTGAAACAGATTTTGACAGAGGGTGAGGCTTGACATAGAGGTGTGAGGGAAGAGGGCTCGTGAAAACTATTTACAAAATTGACTTAAAGCTTCAGGAAGCTTGGGTGCGGGAAGATGAGGCACATGATTGCCAACCTGAATGGAGTTTTTGAAGGTTTCCAGAATTAGGTGCTATCCTATTTGACTTTGTCTCTTGAATGCTTAATATTGGAAGTGCCTGAACAAGTATTGGGTAGGATTTAGAGGCTTGTTCTGAAGTTCTCTATTTTGAACTTACAGGTGAACGTTATGTGATGACTTTTTTGAATGTGTTAAATTTTGGAGATCAGGGTAAGTGTGATGGTATTGTGGAATGGTGACAGAGTTTTCTTAGACACTGCTCTTCATGTAGTTCTGAAAATGACTTAAAGTGTTTGAAGATAGCTTGAAAGTCTGAGAATGTTTCAAAGCCTTTGAGCTGCATTTCAGGGAATGATTAATATAAACTTTAATTTAAGATAATAGAATTATAGAATAGCCTGGAAATGACCTTCAAGATTATCTAGTTCCAGTCCCCCTGCCATGGACGTTCACTAGATCTATATCTTTGCATTCTCCTGTATCAGTAAATCCTTACATTCCTGTTCTTATTCAGTGAACTTCATCATGATCATCTAATTCCTCTACAGCAAGAATTCTAAGTCTAGATTCACTTCTGTCTAGCTGGTGCTTTTGTCTTACCTTTGCCATGAGCAAACCTTGCAATTTTAAGGTGTAGTTGCTTGATCGTCAGAATTTTTAGAGAATACTGCTTCAATGTTGCACTAAATACCACTTGTTTTCTCTTTTTTTGGGGATGTTAAATTAGAATTCATGTTGTTATTAAAGATTTGGAATTAAAATATGTCTAAAACTCTGAGATTGCCTTTTTTTATTTAAGGTGTATATGATATCGTGAATAACCTCGGTTCACTGGTGGCCAGGTTTATCTTTTTGCCTATTGAGGAGAGCTTTTATGTATTTTTTGCTAAAGCATTGGAAAGAGGGAAGACTGTAAAGGACCAGAAGCAGGTATGTTTGTTTGGATTAATTACATGTCAAATGCTTGATTTTTGTTACAGATAAGTTGCATCACAGAAGTGTGACTGATGAAAATGTGTGTTTAAATTTGCTTATTGAGGCTGTTAAAATTGAAAAATGGAGAATAAAAATGTTGAGTGAGACTGGACCAAAAAGAAAAAAGAATGGGTAAAATAAGGAAATAGAAATGAAAATATGTAGTGGTATAGTGCTGCTTTGCATCAATAAAGTTAACTTCAGCTGCTCCAAGCAGTGTGATGGAAAGCCTACTCTACTGTGTATTTCCAGATATAGCAAGCCATTATTTAAATGATGAAATCTAGTAAATAAATGCTATCTGGAAGTACTTTTTTTACTTAAATGTAGCTGTTAAATAATGTTCCTGAAGAGTGCTACTTTGGGAAGAAAAGAATTGGATTTTTCTTGTGTTTGGGTTATATGAGGAGGATTAATGAATAGGAGCTTTGTTCCACAGAGTATTATTCTTGCTCACTCATGAGGGTCAGCCTGTAGCAGTCCTGCTAATTGCACATCAGCACACAATTAAATCCTGTGCTACAGGTCTGTGGTGGGCTTAGAGGGTGTCTGTGTGTATATTTGTTATGAAACCTACCTGGTGTGTAGAACTGAAAAAATGGTGGAATGATAAATCTGTAAAAAGTGTTACCAAGTTAAGAGCATGTGTGTGGATAATTCAATAACAAAGGATATGTTTCACACCTTTTTAGACCATGCAAACTGATTTGTTTCTCTGAAGGTGCATTTCTGCATGAGAGTGGCTGTTATTACATTGATTTTGGTTCATGTAATTTACTATGTTTTTTTTCAGGATGATGTTGCTATGGCTGCAAATGTACTGGAATTGCTGCTGAAACTTGTGCTCCTGATTGGCCTCACCATTACTGTTTTTGGCTATGCCTATTCTCAGCTGGCTCTGGATATTTATGGAGGCTCAATGCTCAGTTCTGGAACAGGTAAAGATTTATAGACCTGACAAAAAACCACCACTCCTTAGGAGAAAAACCCTACAGCTATTATGAATCTTTTATAATCAGCAGTTTAGGTTTTTTCCTGTGAAACTGCTATTGGAATCTGTGATTTAGCTCATCAGAATCCTTCATCTTGCTTATTTGTGTTCTTTTTAAGATATCTAGACAGGAAACTTGTTCAAATGAACTAAAGTGTTGGAAAGGATGGATAAATATAATTGCCTGGCAAAAGATTCACAATAGTACAGCCAGGATGAAAACAATCCCCCTTACTGGCTTAATATCAGTGTCTGTAAAAACAAAGTGGTTTGATAAAAGATATCATTAACTATTTCTCTTTCTAATGTGTTTTTTAGGTCCAGATCTCCTCCGGTGTTACTCGTTGTATGTTCTGTTTCTTGCTGTTAATGGAGTAACAGAATGTTTTACATCTGCCTTAATGTGCAAAGAAGAAGTGGACAGGTAGGAAACAGTGCCTACAGAGTGTTCCTGTGAATTTATTTGTGCTGACCTTAAAAAGGAATTGGTGCTTTTGCACAAAATAATATCCTGCCCCACAGAAAAGCAACTCCCTGCTAGGCAGTGTGCATTTAGATTCAGATATAGAAGCTTTAGCAAGAGTTGAAAAGTTTGGGTAAGAAAGGTCAGAAACTAAGAAATAAAGATTGTTAATTTAGCTTTAGGCACATCACTGACTGATAAAGTAGTTTAAATGTGTGTTTTCTGCACAGATGAGCTTGAAGTTACACTTTTTAAGACAATCACTTGACTCACTGAAAGTTTGCAACTATTAACATATTTCATGTACAGGTACTGGATGTACACTTAGGAACAGCCCAAGCTGTGGGTGTTATTCCAGTGGTTTACTACTTTGTAGGAGGTTGGACTAGGTGACCTCCTGAGAGCCCTTCCAGCCTGGATTATTTCCTGGTTCTGATGTGGCCCTTTCAAATTAATTTCAGTGAGATCTTTTTTGACTTTGCAAGGGCTGCTTTCAATACCCCTTTAAAATGTGCACTAGTTTTCCAAGTCACTGTTTACAACAGAAATGAAATAAAGTGTCAGTTTGTTCTTGAGCATTCATTTTCTTTAATATATTCCTAAGATAAAATAGCAAAAAATGCACAAGTTTTTACATTACTAATAATTGTTATTAAGTTTGATTTTCTGCAATGAGTGCACAACTGATTAGTGTAATAGAATTCCGTTCACATAATGTAGTTCTTGGTTTAATTTGGTTGATGTATTTTCTATTCTTTCAAATCATTTTTTTTATCTTCTCATTTCTCAAATTTATTTTCACTAGAAGATGGTAAAAGAAATTCTGTTACTGATGTTAGAAAATAAAAGATCATTAGTAAATGAATGCTGGAACTGCATGCATTGTTAAATTATTTCTTCTTTTTGTTTTTTCCCTAGGTACAATTTTGTTATGCTGGCATTGTCTTTCATATTTCTGTGCATCTCTTATTTCCTGACCCACCAGTATGGCAGTGTGGGCTTTATCCTTGCCAACTGCTTCAACATGGGCATCAGAATAGCTCACAGCACCCACTACATCCATCACTTCTTCAGAGAAAGCACCCACAGACCCCTCACAGGCCTGCTGCCCTCCCCAGCTCTGCTGCTGGTTTACATCCTCAGTGCTGGGGTCACTGCTTTCTCAGAGGTGAGCTCCTTCCTCTCTGCTCTCACTGACCGTGCTGCTGTCAGGGACTTCGTGTCCACAAAAAGGGGAATGCCATTAGGAAAACAGGCTTTTGAGGGTAGGCTGGGAGATTTGCATTACAGAAAGGCAGGATACATTGTTAAGAGATTCTTTGTATCAATGTTCTCTGCCACCTGTACAAGGTGGATCTGACAAGTAAAATAAAATCTAACACATTTCTGCTGTCTGTAGTTAATCCATGTTCTTTGTTATTAATAATGGAAATTTTGCAGTGGCACCAAGAAACTGGCATTAAAAATTCTTTAATAAAAACAAGTAATAACCAAAACTAGAAGAAAACCAAAAATTGCTAAGAGCACATTTAACACATTTATTCAGTACAAGATGGTAATTGTGCAGGCTGATTATTAAGGGGATTGGAGCTTTTCAATATACAAAAATTTGACAGCTTGAAAATCCATTATGCTTGAGAAAGGAGAATTTTATATTTTGTAGTGTGAGATTTCCAGTTTCTTAGAAAATAGCCTGATATGTTGCTGTACAGTAGCAGACTTGCCTGACAGCACCAGCAGAATTTTGTGTAATCTCAGTTAACACATTTCTGCATGCCAGATAATAGCATCTTTCTCATCCACCTTCAGATATCTACTGAATGGTTATTTTTTGCTGAACTTAAGAACTTAAGTAAGTGAATGTTGTGGCTCCTGAAGATGATTTATTGTAGGGTCAGTGCACGTGCACAACTCTACTTGGCTTGATGGTGAAGTTAGTGTGTTGGACAGAGGTGTTGGACCTTATTTCTTGTTGAGGCAGTAAATGCACTTTGTGCTGAGTGGTTTTCCTGCAATGCCTTATTTTCTTTGTTGTAGGTGTTGTTCTGCTGTGACAAGGGCTGGATGGCCAGGCTGATCCACATCAGCACAGGTGCCCTGTGCCTTGCAGCAACCCTGGTTACCATGTTATGCACAGAGACCAAGCTCATCCACTTTGTCAGGAGCCAGTTCCTCTCCCGCTATCTGAAGAAAGGAACATGACCTGCTCCTGTGCAGAACAGTTCTTGTACGTGCTTGCAGGAAAGGGCTGTATTTTTTCCATAAGATCTGTATGGAAAAAAGGTTTCCATGTGTGTTTGGAAGCCCTGATAAGGGAGTGGCAATGCTGGAAACTGGCACATTAATATTATTTTGTCTTCTGAACTGGTCGGTGCAGCAAAAGAGAGGTGAATAGTTTTCTCTTTATGAATCATTCTTGTCTAAGCTTTTCTTCAAACAGCCTCTGAAGATCTAAGCTGCACCCACTGATACAACCTGGTTGACAGACTGCATGTAGAGAGCTCCCCTTCCTGCCACTGGGCAGTGTAGGAAGGCCTGACGTGGTTTAGAAGGCTTTTATTTGGCATGCATGCTGCTTAACTGGGGAGAAGATGGTCAGGGAGAAAAATCCCAAAACCAACCACAACTGTGAATGCCATAAAAATACCCAGAAGCTGAGGAGAACCCTAGAGCAAGGACCAGCACCAGTGTGAGTGTTGTGGAGCAGAACACAGTGTGGTGCAGAGGGATTGAGCTGTCACTGTTTGAAGTGCAAAGTAGGGAACAGAAGATCCTGACGTTTACAAGTAAATTAATGCAATACACAGCATGTGTCCCTGCTGGCTGTGTAAGATTATTTCATTCATCAGATCCTTCCTGTCTGAGGACATTGATTAAGTTGTCAGAAATACTCTGAAGCCTTAACTGGAAGGGGTTTTTGGCATTGTGTGCATAAGGTGTTGAGTACAATCACGGATGGTGCAGTTCATAAGGTTACTCATAAAACTTCTTGCTTTCATCCCATATTCTTTTGGGTTTGTCTGAGATTTTAAACGCCAGCATGAACAAACTTATCTCAATAAAAATAATTTTGTCTGTACAACTGAATGTTAAATATATTTAATAATGTTTTTTTTACAAGGAATTATGCATATTGAAGATGTTTTCATTGGATAGTAAATACTTCCTTTTGTTCCAATGTTTTCTCCATATCTTGTTTCTTCTTCAATCTCGACCTCTGGATTGGTTTGTTTTTTGGTTTTTTTTTTAATTGATGAAAATTTGGATGTTCAGAAGTTCTAAAATTCTGTGTATGGCTGCTGGTTTAGGTGTACTAATGGTGTATTATATTACTGATCTAAGATCTGAACTGGGCAGTTTCAGAATGTACAAGTGGCAGGTTTATAATCATCAGTGTTCCCTTTGCAGTTTTTGATGGACCAAAAAATGTCAAGGTATGAAAAATGTGTGCTCAGATGTGTGTAGTTGAAAGCTTTTAGTTTAATTATGTAGCAACTCTGCAGATCCTTAGACTGCTTAAAAAAAACTCACTGCAGTGGTGGTGTGGAGTTCATTCTGGTGACCTCAGTGCCCAGGCTGAAATGCTTTCTAGTGTCAGGGCCTTCAGCTTGTAGTTAGAAATATTTTCTAAACTCTGGTAGTTCCCACTTGGAAAACATTGCCAAAGATACTGTATTTGAGAATTTGGTGATTGAAAAATTATCATAGAGAAGCCAAAATGTCACAGTGAAGAAAAAGTCTTGCTGATTCTTCTTATGCTGTTTTGAAATCTGTCAAAATGAAACAAACTCTACCTTTTTCTGTCTTCTTAATTGAATTTAGTAATTCTTTGCCTTTTACATTTTTCTCTTCAGAATGTCCTACACCTTTTTTTTCTCTTTTCTGTCAGGTGTGGAGTTAGTTGTAAAGTACAGGTTCAAATATTGCAGAGGGTTGAAACTTCTTTATGATGAATGGTCAATGCTTACAACAGTTGCTTCTTCCTTACTTGTTAAGACAGTTGAACCTATGGCTGTGTTTTAAGGTCTGTCTTTTTCTGTGTGCCTTTGGGATCCTACTGTGGTAATATCTCAATCTGTACAGTGAATTTTTATAACTCCTTGGAATGAGAAATTTTGTACAGCCCTGCACCTAAAGTGCTTTGGAAGTGGAAGAACTTCTCATACCAGATTGAAGCTTGAAGTCCTTCTGCCTTGTCTGCTCTTACAGCCCCAGCTGTACACTGATATTACTTCTGCTACTTGTAATCTTGTAAGTAGGGTGATATGAGATACTCTCCTGTGACATGACCTGTGTAGTCTCATAAATATTATTTAATAGAAATGAATTATTTAGTATAATATGAATTAATTTAAAGACAACTTACGTTTTTATACCAGTTTGTGTTATTTTGTATTGGAAATATGATTTGTCTTATTTCATATTGGCAAATCTCATGTCTCAAGTGCTATTTTATATGAACCAGGAATACAGTTAAGGTGACTTAATGATTGCTCATTAGCAAATTAAGGACACATTCCTCATCTAAACATCATCTGTAGGCAGCTCAGTGATGGTTGACTGGTGTTTGTGATTTGGGATGTTTTATTTTTAATGTTTTATGTGGCAAGAAACTGCAAGAAGAGACACAACGTAGAGACCTGTGAAACTACTGGTTTTTTATTTATCAGTGGGATCCTTAATGTCAGAGCTATTAATTGCTTTATTGCTAAAGCAGCAAACTCTCAAACTCAGGGACCAAGTTGAGATTGAACTTGACCACGTTTCCCTTTTGTTTTAGCCTTGTTCATCAGTCAAAAGCACCACTGCCTAAAGTGTCATGAAGCTGTTTTCCAGAGTTCTGAAATCTTTTAGTTTCAGCCAAAGGGGAATGAAACATTTTCTTTGGTGGGGAAGGTTATGATTTCATGCTTTGTGGTGCGCTTTTCTTATTTGTTGGATGAATGATTTTCAAGGTAACACTAAATAAAATTTATTTCCTTTATATTTTGTTGTTGTTTTCCACTTGATGATTACTGGAGTTTTATTTGTATCATTAGTACAGCTGATGCTTGAATTTGGTTGGATTTTCTAGGATATCTTATGTATAAATTCATTATCAACCTAAACATACACTCCATTTCCTAACACACACGGATTAAATTTGCTGTAGTAGTTTTGTGAGAAGTGGCATCATTAGAGTACATTTTCCCCTCTTTGTTTATATCAAATTGTATGAATTGGAATGGCCAAGTTCCTTTGTTTGTTTTTACATTGCATTGTGATAAAAACTGATTCAGTGACCAAGAATAAATCTGATATTTAATGAAATTTTTTAGCTGAATTAGTTTGTGGACGGCAATGTTGCTATTTAGAACTAACCAATTAACCAGTTTTTCAACTGTTTGATTTTCCTCTAGTGCTGTAAGTATTTTATTTGTTAAAAAAGTAGGCAGGGGCAGCCTTTTTTAGGTGCATCCAAACCAATACATGAGTTTTCTGAGTTGAATGTATTACAGAACCATAGAATAGTTTGGGTTGGGAGGGACCTTTAAAGATCATCAGTGCTCCTGCCACGAGCAAGGACATCATATCCTGCTTGTGGATTCTATTTGCAGTTGGCCAAAGTTGCCTGAATGAAACAGCTCAGAGGAAGACTTGAAAAATTGTGGAGTGCAGGTGAACCAAGTCTTTTGGTGTGAAAGTCACAACTGAAGCAGAATCAAATCAGAAACTGAAAACAAACACATAATGTTGAGGTTTGGTAACTGGGCATTAATGTTACCCAGTGTTCTGCTGGGCGTGATTGCTCACCAGGTGAGGTGAAAAGGGAAGGATTTCTCCCATCCAGAGGAAAATGTAGTGTTGAAGGTCACCTGAAAGATATTCTGGTGTGGGAGCAGGAAGCTTTCATGGCTGAAGATGCATTGACAAAGGCTGAAAAGGCATTTGCAATCTGTCAGGGGAGCAGTACATCTAAGGCAGCGTTAAGGTTGCTGCAGGATGGGCCTTGAGGTGATCTGCAAGCAATTTGACTTAATCTGTAACAGTTAGGAAAAGGAAAATTAGTCTCTGTAGGGTAAGAAAAGGTGGACTTGAAAGCAGAGGTTGAAATATTAAAGGAACAGGAACAGAATGGAAGTGGAAGAACAGCAGAAAAGCAGTGCAGAGTGGTGTGTGCTGCAAAAGCCTGTGTTCAGCATCGGTGATGAAGTGCATGTGATGAAGGACATACAAAAGGCTAGACAATAAAACCTCCAGCTGTGCAGTTACTTGGCAGTGGAAACAAGCTTGAGCTGCTTCAGGGCTGTAGTTAGAGGCAGAATTGTGGATTGGATGATTCAGCTTCCTCAAGGAGTCTCCTGGTCTTTGAAAAGGGCATTGCAAGAAGAGCAAGGCGTGGTTGGATTTGCTGGTGCAGAATTTAGCCCAGAGACCTCAGCCCGTGGGACTGAATGGAAGCTTGTTGGTTCAGTCCAGATCAGTTTGGTGTGGATATACCAAAACACATGGAAGAGACATTTCCTAGCTCCTCCCAAGTTTCTTGGTACCAGGACTTAGACCAGTTCTCTTCTGCTAATCCATGTGGGAGAAATGGGAGAAATTGCAGGTGAATGCAGACAGATGGAAAACTGCCACTGCCGCAAGCAGCTGCCACACCATGGGAGGGGGGAGCCCTGATCTCTGCTGGAGCACGGACACAGGGAGGACAGCACAGTGAAGCTGTGCTCCACACTGTGCTTTCCCTGACTCCACACCTGCTGCCTGGAGGAACTCAGAGTGCATATACAGGAGCCCCACAGAGAGCACAGTGGATTTTAAGTTTAATGAATTCAGGAACAGAAATTAAAAAACAGAAGAGTTTTACACTGACAATGTTTGGATTTCAACTAAATGTGCATGACTTAATATTCACAATTAAAATAGTAGAACATTTAATGTATTAAATATGGACTCAATCTTGAATGAGCAAAGGTAAATGGTAAATATTGGTTATTTGCAGATCTGCTTTCTTTGAATTTAGTGAAGTGTGTATGATATACAGTAATTTGGGTAAATGAAGAAACAATTTAAAGAAAGGGACTGTCCCTTCTGCTTGGAGAGGGAAAACTTCAGCCATTGAAAAAGTAATGGAATATTCTGTTTTCCAAGAAAGGTATGTGCTGAGGAAGTGGTGAAGTACAAACACAATTTGGGGATACGTGGACCAGACCCCCAAGGATTATTCAGGACTACATTGGTGTGAAAAGGTACCACCAGCTGTAAGTGTAGAAAGAGCTTGTGGTGCTTTGGATCAGGAATAAATAATAGGATTAAGAATAGACCAAAATACAAAGACCAGTATTGGAAGAAGTGCTTTAATTTATTGAGATAAAACCTTGAAAGAGTGAATTAGAAACATAGTAAGTCAATAGCCATTGTTAATTCTTGTGGTTTATTTTACAGGGTGATGCTGCCAGCATTACTGGCTTGAGGAGAAGTAGCTCAATGTAGTGAGGATGATGTTGATTTCAAGCAAGTGTGTAGCAACAGAGGGATTCCAGAAGAGGTGAATAAAACAGAAGGGAAGAGGTTTGAAACAGAAAAGCATTAAATACTGACAGTACTTTAGTAAGGAGTTTGGAGAATCGTGGAATTTTATGTGTATATGAAATAAAAATTACTAATGAAATAGTGCAGTCCATGTGGGGTAGGGATAAAATGAAAGGAAGATTGTACAAGTGAGTGCTAGAAGAGGCTTGTGCATGTGTGTGCTAATCAAAGCTCCCTTCCTCTCTCCCTCCCTTCCTCCTTCCTTCCCCTCAAGCGTGTATCTGTAAGATTTTCAATGTTAACCATCACTTCAGTTGATAAACACAATTACTATTAATAAAACTGACTGTAGAAGGAATACCTCCCATGAGAATAAAGGACAAAATGGTAGAGGCATCTGTAGTGTAGTCTCAATATCAGACACCTTAACCATGAAAGGTATTTTTTCTGTACAAGCTGTAAGAGTTCAGAGTAAAAACTTCTGTGATGAGTGTGTGCCAAGGAAACAAGGTGATTCTTGGTAGTTATTGTTCTTTCCTGGCTGTATTAGAAAACTACTGTAACAATTACTTGTACTAAATACAAAGTTATCTGCTTCTTGAAGGAAAAAAGTGGAATGAGTGAGTATTGAGCAAATGGAGAACAGACATAAGCAGATCATAGTATCATTTGAGCTTTACTGGCTAGAATACTGGCAAAAAAAAGGGCAAGAACTTTGTGCCTGGATAAAATTAATGCCTGAGAAAAGTGGGAGGTTTGCTCAGTGAATAGCTTCATCAAATTAAAAAATAATACAAGTAATGATACTGTAATTTTTCTTCAATGATAACCAAGTATTTCTCTGTCATTAGAAATGACAAGCAACAGTGATGACATATGAATTTACAAAGAATGCCATTGCCATGGAATATTAGCTGAAGACATCCCTTGATTACAAAAAAAGCTTTGTGAAGGAAAAAAGTTAAATGAGCCTTACAGTCTAAAACAGAAAACAAGCATAAATGAGAGTGAAAGCTGCTCGTGCAGAACTTGAGCAAGTCATTATATGCAGTTCCTCTAATCTTTGGCACTACAATTAATAACAGTTTTGATTACATAGCTCACTTACCAATAAATCACCTGGCCACTAACAGGAATAATTGTATCAACATATCAATGCCTTGATTGATTTCTGCTGTTTGTTGCCATCACAAAGTGCTGATGTTGTTTGGGTTATGACAACCTGCACTGACTGCCAAATGCATTCACCTAGGTAAATATGTGTGTGTGTGTCAAACAAATCTGTGCCTGTGTCAGAAGATCACAGGCCAAAGAAAACGTTTCTGTTACTACACAGCAAGCATTAAACATCAGTGGAATCCAGTTTGTACTGATGTATCCATAAATATTTATTAAAATAGTATTAAAGCAGTTCCTGGGGACCATTTCTTATGGAAGGCCAGAAGTAGCTTGTAAATTCACCTTTGAAATAATTTGTAAAACTGTATGTTTTGGGGTTGGTTTCCTTGTTGTTTATGTTGTGGCAGGGTGCACAGGATCTTGGTGACAGTGACAACTTATACAAAGTCAGGATGAGATAAAGGGCTTGTGACTTACTTTGGCCAAGGGAGTGGTGCCCTGCTGCTCCTGATGGGCAGAAGGTACACAGCTTATATGTCAAATGTGCTGCTTCCTGGGTATGCATTTGGAGTGACTTAACTTTCCCTTCTTTTTTAGAAGAGTGCTTGAGAAATTGTATGGAGTTCGTCTCCTGAACAGTATTGTTTTTGTCAAATCAAGACTGATTTTTATGAAGTGCTTCAGGTTTCTTAATTTCTGCATGAGGGAAATACTCTGTTGCATTTCCTTCCCCTCTCCCTTCCTGACTGACTCTGGAGTGGAGCACTCTGGTTCTTTGATGCCCTGACTGCTAACCATTGCCAGCAGCACCGTCTTGGCAAAAAGAACAACAAAAATTATTTCCCCCCTGTAGTTCTGTGTCCTTGCTCCCCTCTTTGGTGCCATCTGTGTTTTCCTTCTTGTTCCTTTGCTGTAGCAGCCATGGGACCCCAAGGAGATACTTCTTGTGTGTTTAACTGTGAAATATTTTCATGCATGTTCCAACTGATCCTTCAGCTCAGTCCTGTGTTATTTAAGCCAAGTCCATGTGCAGCATTTAATAAAAGGTTTAGACATCATCAGTTACTTCACCACCTAATTCTGGGTTTAAATGTTTGTGTTCAAGGTAAGAGCGTGTTCATCTGATCACGGCAAATAAAGAGCACATCTCAATTATTTTAAAAATACCTTCCTATTTGGGGCATAAATTTAAGTTCTTAAGTTTTAGAAATCATCTGTTGCTAAAGTAAAGCCTGGAAAAAAGGATCAAAACCATTTGTTAAGCAAATATAATTTTCCAATACTAAATGGATTCTGTCACCTGAATTGAGATACACTATGTGAAACTAGTTGCCTGATTACTTTTAACAGTTTATGAAGGGTTGTGACTGGTTATTTGGATTTTTCTTCCCCTGCAGCTGTGAATTAGATGAAAAAATACTGCAGCTGAACATAACATTGTTTTATCACTAGGAAATTCACTGCTGGCATTGAATTCAACCTGGAAAAGTAAAGAGGTCATGACACAACATCTGTTTTGTGGAGAGCTTAGTTATTACCACCAGTAATACTGCAAACACTGGAGTGGAAAAAATAACTCCAGAGCAAAGATGTTGCTAAATTGCCTTTTTGACCATTGTTTTATGGGCTGTGTTAGCTGGATTTCCCCTCATACATGTGTTTGGAAAGTAAGTTTGAACAAAATGCTCCTGCTGCTCAAACATAAGGTGGAGATGTTTCTTTGTGATAGAATTTCCACCTCATTTCCATGTCTTCCTTTTTTCACTCTCCTTGCCACATTTTCAGTGCTGCCGGTGATTTTACAGGCAGTGTGCTGGAAGCATGTGACTGAGGTTTTAAAACTCCTGTAACAATTTACATTTGCTCTTAGGTTTCATTTTTAGCTAACACAATCCATGTGAGATGTTAGGGGATCTCACCCTGCACTAAGCTGTGCTTAGTCCTCCTCATCCTATTGCTAACCTGAACTGACTTGGGTTCCCACCCAACGCTGCCTTGGGCTGGCTGTAACTGGGGTAGCTTCTTTGCCTCTTCCTTGGGGTGATGGCCTTTGTGTGTCAGGGACAAAAATAATTTAAGGTACATCAATATTAAGCATTTTTTGTCTACTTCATGTTGTCGTTTCTCTGTTTTTACTAAGAATGTCAAGTTGTAGTTTCTAATGAACATTTTCTGAGGGCAGGAAGTGCTGTGACATCCTTGGAAGCAACTTTCAGAATTATGAGTTAATTAAAGAGTTACTGTTTTACAATGGCTGCATTGGCATCTGTGGCTCTCTGAGCTACTGACCCTACTCAAAGTATCCCAGTGTTGTGCTTCTCTGCTTTGGAGGAATGACTGGAAGTATGGGTGCAGTGCTTCAGGGGACAGTCAGAGACTGCAGCTGCAGGCAGCTTCCAGGAATGAGCATCTTTCCCCTTTGCCTGTAAAACCTCTCTCCTGCCTGGATTTTGCTTTACCTTTGAAGCTGCTTTCTCCAGGTCCTGACTTGCAGAGATTCAGACTCTTACCCTTCTTGCTAAAAGCCAACTCTTCAATCCTTCCATTATCTGGCTCGTGTGAAAGTCTCAGTTGTGGATTTCAAAGCTTCTCTGTGAACTGGATGTGTCTGTGATTTAATTGGGAGATAGTCAGCAGCTTCAGAAGTGAAATTTGCTTTCTGTGTGTAGCAGATATTGTTACACAACCCTGAGACAAACCCATCACACACACACAAAACAAACTGTGGCAACCCCCTTGGGATAATGAAGGTTTCTTTATCCTCAGATTTTGCAAACAATCTAGGTATTGAGTAATCATCTTCTAGCTGCTCTTAGAAGTAGCCCCCCCCAGGTTCACCTGCAGCCAGTGAGACAAAACCCTTTTTATGAGGTCATTCTTCTCTCATTCACTTCTGTAGTGGAAAGGTTGACTCACCAGCCCCAGCCCTGGAGAGGTAGATAGGATATCTACAGTGTGATTTCACTTTTCCAGCCCTGTTATGCCACATATTAGAGTTCATTTATTTCATTAGTTTACTTTGTAAGGCAATTACATAACTGTTACCACAATAGGACTAGAATGGTGTTTTACATTTACTAAAATAACTTGGCAAATGATCTCTGTGCAGCAATCTCCTAGCTATAATAGAATTATTCAAATGTCTATGAACATCTTACATGCAGTATTAGAGTGAGTTAGATCAATCAAAAATTAATTGCATCCAAGGCATCAGTATAGCCTTCTGGGATGAGCTGGATGCCAGTATGTCACAATAAAGTCATAATAATTGATGTAGCATTGAATCGTGCCTTTGCTTCTCCCTTATAATGGCAATTTTATTAGCTGAGCAGGCTAGGTGGAAAAATGAAAAGAAAAGTGAAATGAAAGTAAGTTAAATACCAGATAGTGGTCATTAACTTTGATTTAATTCTGTGCTTATGTGGTTTATCATCCTGACACTTTATGCTTAAAAAAGCTTGTTTTGCACGATTGCACTTCCTCTGTGCTTCCTATTTATATATATGTAGAGAAGAATGGAGTATATGGCTGAGCATTCAATTCAAGCTGTCAACACAAAATATTTCTTCTGAACTTTGATTTGATGACTTGGGCTGTTAACATGAAAAGTATCTTTCCTGGTAAGTGTTTGGTTTTTCCTGGTCTTCTTTCTTTGTCAAGGTGTGACTCTTGGATGATTTATGTAGTAGAAGTAGAGTGCAGATATCAAAATATTTAATAATTCCTCTTCTCACTAGCAATTTCTTCTGTTAATTTTTTTTAAATTCATAAACCAGGATTATTGCTGTATCACAACTACTGAAGAGTTGTTGAACTGAATTAATACTTTGGCTTCTTTGTCTATGGGTATTGGGGAAAAAAGTCATTCCTTAGCTTCAAATTCAACTACAAACTTTTTTTACTGTTTTCAGAGAATCTGTGAACTAGACCAGAGTTTTTCTTTCTTTGGAAAGCCATATTGACAGTCAGCAGATATAGAAAGATGCTGAGTGAGATGCTGAGTGCAGAAGGCAAACAGGGGTGGTGAGGGGCAAAGTTTCAAGCAAACCATGCTGTTGCCTTGGGTTAGGGGGACATGGATGGTAGCTGCTGTTTTGTCTTGTTTTATTGCACAGGGACCTAAAAACACGTGCTGAAAATTGTTAAACACACTCAACTTGGTAGAGCTGTAGCTGGGTATTCAGCTGGGAAAAGCAGTCAAACATGAGATAGAAATCCAGATCTACAAAGTTCTGAGCTGTCAGACTTCATGAGTAATGCAAGAAAGTGATGTAAGAGTCTGGAAGACACATTGGTGCCTGAGAGCTGGCAAAGGGAGCAAAGCAGATTAATGTAGGACTAGAGGAAGTCTCATGAGTCCACATAAAGTGACTTTTTCCCTGTGAGTTTGCCTGTGTTAGCAATGCTGTTGTATCTTGTTCTCTTTAGTGCTTCATCTACCCAGTCTTATTTCCTTACTTCATCTTACTGCTACATTTTTAAAAGCAAGAGCAGAATCAAACCTGCAAAGCTGTGCTGCTTGTGAGCAGGCAGGAAAACTAAGTGTTCCCTCTGAGGGAGCCCCAGATTGACTGGATTCAGCTTGTTAATGGAAGGTTGAAAACAAATGTGAAAGTCTTTGGACTTTCTTCTCAAGAGCTGCTCAGATCCTGATAGATCTATTTGAAAGCACCCGAATTTCAGCAGAGAAACTGTTATCAACTCATTCCTAGAGGGCAAAGCCAGGGCAGTAAGTGGAGAGGTGGTGTGACTCTAAGTGATTGAACTATTGCAGCACGTGGCTGACTTTGCAGATAAAGCAACTAAAACTTGAACTCTGATCAGGGCATTTCATCACTAGAGAGTTGACAAAATTACATTATCAGAAAAGTAGGTAAAGCATGGAAAGGGGCTGAGGAGGGAAAAAAAGCTTTGACAGTTTGAAAACCTGCATTGCTTACAGGGCAGCACCTTTTCAGCCTGCATGTAAACAGGGTTTGATTTGTAAAAAAAGCCAAACTAAAGCCAGTGTAGCTGGCCCAGGCCTGCCAGCAGCTCAGCTCTCAGAGGGCTGGATTCATCCTGGTTTTCTGCACCTGATGTTCTTGAGCTGGGCTGAGACCTGTGCCCCTGCAACCAACTTGCTCCTGAGCCTGATTTTGCACACTGGCTCTGGAATGCCTGCCTAGGCTGGATGTGCTCAGACTGCAGGGTGCTTGGATTTACCCTGCAGTTGGTGTGAGACACAGTGATAGGTGGTTGTACAGACAGATATTTGCTATATTTGGGGTAGGGATGAATGGGAAGGGATTGTGACTGTTTGTGGGAATCTGAAAGGCAGGAAAAATGAGGGAGAGGTGAGATAGGTCAGCAATATATGGTTTGCATATGGTAAAAAAAGCCACGGTTCTCAGGATTTTTTCCTAAATTATAACTTTCTCATTTGCTCCTCAGTTAATTTATCTGGAACCTATATATCTGTGGAAATGACAGCAAAGCCCTCATGTTTGAGAGGCAGGAAAACTAGCCAACCTTAAGATGCAGAACATACTGCAGATTATGTAGCTGCAATTCTATGATGGAAAAAATCCGTTCCCTTTTCCACTTACTGATTATGGACTTTAGCATGCTATAGGTATTATCCAAATATTTTTTTAATGCTTAAACCCAAATGAAAAGGGGTGGGGATAATTAACTGGCATCATATGGATGTATTATCTTGGCAGATGTTGCCAGTCAGACTTCCTGATTAAACCTGCCCTTCAGGGCTCCTAATTTGAAATGAAATGCAAAATTAAGGCATGACAGAAATATTTCTCAGTCAACAGATCAACTGTTAGATTGTGAGCAGAATTAGCTCTCACTAAATTTCCTTTTAACCCAAGTAAGCTGCAAAAAAGCTTTGTGAAGTACAAGGCATCAACAAGTGGCACTGGATACTGAAGAGCCAGCTCAGTCTTTTTAATAAAAATCAGTGATTCCTAAGAGTAAAAACTGCACAACACTTATGTGCCTGTGTCTGGCATTCTCTTGGATGAACTGTAATTAACTTTCATGCTTTGAAATTGTGTTGATCTTTCCCTAACTGGAGACATTTCATTTCTTTACTGGGGAATTTGAGGATATCTCCTTGCCTTTTTGTGCATCTCTGGGTCATTTGTCACAGCTGCTGTGTTTCAGCACAGTTGAGGCGTTTTAAATGGTTTTAACCTGATTATCCTGCAGACAGTTTATTATTTTCTGTTATTTTTCCCTACCTTCCCTTTCTGTATCTCTCTCCCTTCCTCTCTCCCTGAGTGCTGCCCTTTCAGATGTTCCTTTGCTTAACCATTGGATTCCCTGGTTCTCTGCATGTTTTTCTGCCAGCTGCTGGGTCCTCTTTTACTCCTGTTGTACAAGGTTTTACTGTTTGTATCCTCCAACACAAAAAAAGTGACATTAATTTTGTTAATTAATGCTTGACTTCTTATAGTAATGAAGAATTTATTAGATTGCTTGTAATTATATAATTTATTTCTCAGTGTGAAGACAATTTTTTTATTTGACTCAAAATTTAATCATATTTGAGTGATTTAACTAAGCTATTATTTGTGACCTTCATTTGTACAAGTATGCTTTGCTCTTTCCTGGCAATACCTGTGAGGCTCTGCATTTTTTTTTTTTCTATTTATGTGATCTGATTTATAGTTGTGAAGTACAAAGTGTTTCTTCTCCCCTAAGGTGTGCTTGTGTAAACAGTTTTCAGTAAAGTATGAATTTCTCTACAGAATTTTGTTTTTTTCCTAAAATGACAGGAAAAGCCTAGTGGAATTTTGGGCTCCCCAGATTCACTCCCTGTGAGGAGTGTAAGGTGCAGTCAGGGATCCAGGCTGGCATTGGAATTCAGTTGATTGATGTGGCTCCTGAGTATTTCTCTGCCAGGTTTTTGTGTTGCAAATGTAGGGCTACTTTGAGAGAATGAGGAGTTCTGAGAACTCTCCAAAAATTTAGCTTTCTACTGCAGCATTGAGTTTTTGTATTTTTATAAATGGATTTGTGAATAAGACTCTCTTAATGTTTTTGTCTTACAGTAACGGGGGGAAAAAAAAGTGTTTTTCAAATGAGGAATACTGGGAAATAGCTCCATGTGAGACCATTTATCTGCTTCCTGTAATCATGGGTTACATTACTGCACATAATGCTCATGTGCCTGAAGCAATGCCATATTACAGCAGCAAAAATAATTGCAATGTCATTTGAGAAGTTATATGGAAGTATTTCCCATAACAGAGAAGTTATTCTTACCTTAGCTGTTTGTTTTTTTTTGTCTTCCATAGCTCTCCAGGGCAGAGCTTTTTTGATGTTTAGAGAGCTGAGTATTTTCTTCATGTTTTAAATCTGTTCATAAGCATATACTCAAAATACTGTCTTAATTTTTTTACTTGTTTTTGTAAGCCTCTTGTAATAGTCTACTTGTTTACTTTTCAGCCTTCTGCTTATTTTCTACAGCTGAAAAAACCCCACCACTACGTGTTTAATTGTACTAGTTATGTGGGTTTAACTGTTGTTCTGGGTTTTTATGGCTGTTACTGAAGCATCTGGTAGGAAAGAAATATTATCTTTGGCTAATGAATGAGGTTACTTTCTTCATCTGCAATAATATTTTCATGCTTCTCCAAGTATTTCTTCATTTACATTTCTTTTCAAGGTGCTTTAAAGATGTTCTGACTTTCTTATTTTAGATCTAGACCTTTTTATTCAAATTAATTAAGTAGCAATAACTTTTGGCAACTTCAGGGAGAACAGAGAGACTTCCTGGGCTTGGAGCCTGGACTTTCCAGTCTCTACCAGTTCTATGGCATGAAGATCTTAGCTGAGACTTGATGCTTTTAAGCAGCATCCTTTTATGCAAGACGTCACTATTTGGCATCTATTTTTACTTTCTGATTGAGAGTTATTGAGTGATGAGCTTTCCCCTTGTGGGAGGAGCAATGCCATGAGGCCTTTGTACCTACAGCACTCTTGAGTTTCCAGCATTGGTAGAGAGGGAGAGGAAGAAGGAACCCAATTTCTTTGCACTCCTTTGTTCTGCCAAAAGATGGAGTAAACGATCTACTGAACTGCCTGTGCTGCTAATTGATTTTCTAGGCAACTAGGAACTTTTCCACAAGGAAGGAAGGAAGGTTTTCTGTTCCCTTACAGTGTTAAAGCTTCGTAGGTCTCATAATCTGTGCTAAATGTCATGAGGCAGTTCTTCTTAATGAATTGACCAAATTGGTTGGTAACAGATGGGTTGATGACAAATGGGTTAATTAGTAGTCTTATCTAATCAGTTTTTATTTCAATTATTTTGTCTGCTTATGTGTGAAAGGGTTATTTTAAAACAGTCCTTTCACCTCTTGCAGAGAGAAGTGTCTGCATTATTGGTCAAAGCAGTCCCTTCTACAAATATAGGGATCCTCATAAAATCAAACTAAAAATAGTATTAGTGTGCCATAATTACAAGTGAAAAAGTTGGCATTTTCAGTGATGCAAGCTTTTTTTTAGACAGTTGCTGTGGAACACTAAATTTCTTTGGCAAATAAACCCATCTGCTGTAAGCATAGCTGGATATATATTGTCTTTTTCTGCAGATTTTCACTGTCCATGCTGAAATTACCTGTTGGATTCTAGTGACTGAGCTTTTGCCATCAGGTACACTGGCATGAATAGGCTGTGTTTTTTCCTGTACCTTTGTCACTGTATTTACTTCAGTCAGTGCCTGTCTTTGTGCAGGACTCTGTCTAATTGTTCCTCTTAGGTGTGCACTGAGTGACTCCACACAATTGCTGACCCCTCGAGTTAGGGGCTGCCGGTCTGAGCCATTGAGTAAGAAGTGCTGGGAAGACTCATCAGGATAAGTTGAAGGAGGCTGCAATCACAGGAGACAGACCGTGCAATTTATATTCATCAGGTAAATGAACTACAGACGTGTATTGTGGGTAAAACTGGTCCCAGAGTGGCCTTTTTTGCATGGTAACATCATGGTGATTTTCCAAAGGTGCAGCATGGTGAGCTGCTGTTTTTACAGCAGCCTTTAGTACGTGTTGTATCTAATGTCTTGTGTCTTCCATTGCTTAGACTTTATTTTCCCCCAGCAATCTCATTTATCTGTAGAAATCTCACCTGCAGAAGTGGTCTCATTTGACTGCTTCCAGAAAATCCTTTTTTTCAGTCCTGACTTTGTAGCTCTTCAGAGAATTGAAAGATGGAGGACTACTTTTAACTTTGAGTGTTTCCAGTAATGCAGATTTTTGCCTTTAAATGTCAGTGACTTGCAGCCTTGGAACAGAAGTGAAATGCCTGGTGGGTGGCATAAATGGGGCAGAGAGGTTAAATGACTTATTTGGATGTACTTGGGAAGTCTGTGTCAGAGTACAGTCCAGAGTAGTGTTTGGATTTTGTATCTATTTCAGGTTACAAATGATTCTATTATCAACCTCCCAGTATGAAGTTTTAGACATAACACCTTGATTCATTCATGTCCTACAAAGAACCCCACAAAAGTAAGGACTTAATAAATGATAATGTGAAATGTAGTGTGGGAAGGTGAAGGAATGACATCACCAAACTGGAAGACCATTTTGATGATTCAATGAATTTTTTACATTTTGGGCATTACAAAAACTGGCTTCTGATTGTGTCTTGCAAGACTTTATTCAGCTTTCAAGTGCATTTATATAACTTTCACCATTATTGTAAAAAATTGCAAGATATTCTAGCTAGATCACAGGTTCACAGGAAGAATGCTCATACTGAGAGGATGAGGAGGAGAAAAGCTTTGATTTGACACATGGTGATGAGATTTTACTGAAATAGAGTCCTTTGCAGTGCCATATTTGCATATTGCACTGTTCTCTAAATAGAAAGGACTCTTGGGCTTGCAGCAGTTTGTATTTTAAATACTCTGACTTTGTTGCCTATTCTATATCAGGCATAACTATCTGGAAGAACAGACTTAAATGTTAATAAATTCAACTGCTTTATCCTATATGTATTAATTTTAGGAGAATTGGAAGGTGTGAGCTGAAAGGAAAGGGAGGTAAGGGAGGAAAATAGATGCTTTGTGTAAACCAGTTGCTTCTAAAAGTAGATTTTTCTCTTCAGGTTAAAGTATTATTTCAGTGGCAGTCAATGTGTATAATGCACAGATTTTCTCCTCTATTGCTTAAAAATATCAGTAAATAATCTAAAATCTGATACTGTTGAGTTTGGCAAGGTGAAGTAAATTTAAATTTACAGGACACAAAGCCAAACATCTGTGAGCTGGAGCAGGTTGTGAAAAATTGTTGCCAATCCTGTGGTGCTGTGAGGTTGGCCTGGTGCTAACTCTAATTGCCATTGCCTTGTGCTGCATGGGAAAGGTCTTCCAATGTGGAGATGACCAAAGAAATCTTGGCAGCTTTAAGGCCCCTGTTACTATAGATGTTGAAAATGTGCTTTCCCCCTGCCATCCCAAATGGTTCTGTTTAAACAGTGGGAAGCAGATTTAATGCACTGAGGTAGGCCAGAGTATGGGAAGCTCTCTGCAATCCCATTGTTTTACTTCTGCTCTGTGCTTGTTTTAGCTGTGCTGTGAGCTCTGTATGAGCTCTGCACATCATTTTATCTGTGCTGGGATGCAGGGGTGCTCTGCACATCATTTTATCTGTGCTGGGATGCAGGGGTGCTGCTGGAACGTTCACTGTGGAAATGGGCACTGGGCAGGAAGAAAGTGGCCTGTGGTGTCTGCTTGTGTGAGCACAAGGACTTGATTTAAAAGTTATCTGAGGCTGTATTGGTGGTACAGACAAAATAGGAGTGGTCTCACTTAACTAGTTGTTTACACCACACACATAAAATGTTCATTTCCTCACGCTCACTGGCACAAGGCACTGGGCAATGATAAGACTGTTAGTATAAATATTTTTCTTTCAAAGCATTTTAATGCCCTTAAGTAAATTGATTTGAGATACAGGATTAATCTGCAGTCTAAGCACTCAGAAGTTAGTTAGATACTCCACTTAAAGGCATTCTCTGACTTCTTTACAGAGGAAATTGCAAACTGGAAGTCTAAGTCTTTTGGTTTTAGTTTGATTTCTGGATGTCCTCTTCTTTGAGCTGCTGAGAACAGGCAGTCATGCTGTAGCTTTGGTTCTAGAGTGTTTTAAAGGGGATTGTTTCATCTCTCACTGTAGCATAAATCTACAGCTGAAAAGAAGCACTAAGTGATATAATCACACACCTTGATTATATTTTATCTGTTTTATCTGATCTTGCTCCTATTGAAATCACCAAACTGTCTTTGAATTAAAGTGGATTAGAAATTGAAAATAAATTCTGTCTAAAATTGTGTGTATATATAGAAATCTTAGAGATTGAAAGTTATCCTGTTGGTGTGCTGCTTCTTAGAAGCAATATTGCAATGTCGACAGTGCAGTTTAAATTGAGGTATGCGTTTGTGGCAAGGATGAGTGAGCTCCCACATCTGTGTTTTAAACCTAAAATATTGACAGTAATGTAATCAAAGTTCTGATTTTTTATAGAAGGTTTCCTGAGGCTGTCTGTCAGAAACCTATTAAATCTGAAAAAGAAACAAAACCATACTCTGCTAAGGCTGATGTAAATTATTCATAAAAATCCAGAATTCCATTGAATCTCTCTCTTATTCTTGACTGAGACTAGCACAGACTTTGTGAGCTTTTCCATGTTTCTTTCCTTGTGCTTATTTTTCAGCATTTAAAGAGGAGAATGTACTGGAAGACCCTAAAGCTGTTAATGGCTTTTTTTCTCCCCTCTCTTTCTCTGTGCTGTGTTTAAAACCATCCACTGGGGCTATTCCTGCTGGGGCCTTTTCTATTTAAATCTTTAACTTTCCTGATGTGAAGACTCACTTTTCTTAATGAACTGACTTTTTAAATGTATGGATTTGTTTAAAAAAATTCAAGAGGAGCAATCTGAAGTTTTTTAAAAATTCTATTACCTTAATTCCTAGCTACAGTGTGTACTTAATGATGGGACTAGTGGCATTGATGCACATGTCTTCTAGTTAGCTGACCCATGACCCTTCATGTGTTACTTTTATTCTAGCCTGGAATACATTTTAACCTTCAAAGTGTCTGATATGCTCATTACAGAAAATTGTGCTATTCTTTTAAGTTTCTCTCAATTTTTTTAGGGAGAAGACTCCATTTGCAGGAGTGTCTGTAAATAAATAATCAATGTTTGTAAACAGTCTTCTATTTGCTCAGTTGTGGCTTCTAATTTAAAAGATATTTCTAGCTGAAATCCATCTTACAGTTGGTTGCTCATATTAATTCCAGAAACGATTAAAAAAAAAAAATTACATCCTGTTGGGTGACTCCTACTTCATATGGCTCTGACTTGCTGCTCATGACATCTCAAACACACTAAAAGGAGTGTCCACTCTAGTCACAGGCAAAGTTCTCAGAGGTTCTTTGTGCTGACATCTCAGGTTTGTGAAGGTAGGACTGGATGCTGACCTTTCCCAAATTATTAAAACTCTCCGCTGTGTTCTTTCTGTTAAAATAAGAAGTTAGTTGACTGGCCATGAGCACACCAGCTCTGCTTCCCCTTATTCTTACCTGTCTTGCAAAGGCCTCAAGCTTGGGACTCGTTAGTCTTATCTTCTGTACCCTGAGGTGTGTTGACAGCATCCCATATCCCCTGCAGGAAAGGGAAGCTGGATTGGTAATGAATCACTGGTTTTCTTTCACAGGCAGTTATTTAACCCAGGTGTTTCAGGGTGGGGAGAATTCAAGGAGTGTTCAGTGACCTTCACACTCACCCTGGTTTAGTGCTGGCAGAACAGTCTGTGCTTCCAGTGGGCCCTGCCTGGTCACACCCCAGTGGTGACACAGCCACCTGAGTTTGCTGTGTGTGATACTTTTGGACAGTCTTTCTCCTGCAGGTGGAATGCTTTTTCTGTGTCAGGAATGTTCCATATGTGTAACTGAAGAGGATTTTTTGTTTACCTTTACTCCCTGGTCCATTACTTTATTTTCCTCCCTGTGCACGTGTGAAGGGATCCCCTCATGTCCTGTTTGTCCTGGGCATGGCCCAAAGGGCTTTGACAGCCCCACAGACACAGCTGTGGTCACTGGTAGTGCTGCAGAATGTGAAATCACAATCCTGGAGCCAGCAGAGCTTACAGCCCACTGAGGGGCACCACACAGAGCCAAAGGATGGGCCATGTTCAGCTGGGTGAGGTGAAATTAATGCTGAAGGCAAAGCAGCAGGGCAGTGCTGGAAGCAGAAATAAATCTGGGGCTCCCAGCCGCAGCATGGCTGAGCAGCTCCTGCCTCCCCCTGCCTCTGCTCTGGGCCCCACACAACGCCTGCCACAGGAGCCCCTGGGCCCGGCTGTGGGAGGGTGGCCTTGCCCTCACCTGGCTCCCTGGCACCAGGGCCCTCCTGCTTGCTGTCGCACATGGCAGCCGTCAGCAGTGAGTCCCTGTCCAGAAACGTCACAGTCTCCTCCAGGTGCTGGTCCTCTCTCTCTTTCTGGGAGAAAGAAGAGTATGGGGAGTTTGCAGAACCCCTTTTATCTAGTTTCTGTGTTTAATGAATTTGAGATACACAAGCGTTTAGAAGTGTTATATTTAGTTTGCAATTGGTTGCCTGACAACGCAGATCAATCTTGTCCTTCCCCACCAGAGATATGGGGAATGCTCTTGCTAGTCTTAAGGATACTTATGCACTTACACTCAGAAAAGGGCTCTGTCAGCAGCATTTTATAGATTTCAATCTAGTATTTTTGGGTACCTTGTTAAGGTGTAGTTATTACTTTATTAATAAAAATTAAGATTTCAAAATGGAGCATTCAAATGTTGGGGAACAGCAGGTTTGCACCTGTGCTTGCCGTTACAGAACAAGGAGGGAACCCTGTAGAAAATAAATCTACAGTTGTACAAGTGAAGGCTATTAAAGCTTGGGAATGTATAGAGAGAACTGACCCTGTTCAGGGAGGTTCTGGCCTGGTGTTCCTTAACTTGAAAGCTTGGTTTAGCTTGATTTTGATATTAATTCAGTCTCTCAACAGAATATTGCTCTTCATTTTCGCACACAAATAAAACAAAGGTGAAAAATGCTGTCTTCTGTAAAGTATTGTAAAGCCCTTCCCCATCAAGACATTCAGGTCTTGTGCCTTGAACATGCAGTGTCTGCTTGTGTGAGCACAAGGACTTGATTTAAAAGTTATCTGAGGCTGTATTGGTGGTACAGACAAAATAGGAGTGGTCTCACTTAACTTCTTAGTCTTCCAAAAGGGCACCAAGAAGGAGCCAGGAAACTGCAGGCCTATCAGCCTCACTCCATCCCCAGAAAGGTGACAGAATAGCTCCTCTTGGATGTCATCTCTAAGCCTGTGGAATAACAGGAAGGGAAAACTGTGAACAGGCTTAGCAGCTGTTCTGCAGGGCAAACAACTGAGTTAGCAGAAGAAGAAATTAATAAAGTATGAGTTTATCCATGGCAAGGAAGAAAGCGAGGCTGTTAGCATGGGAACTGATAAACACATCGGGGTTACTTGTAGTTAGAGGATACGTGCCTTAGTGAGCAGCGTGCATGCCTTCATAGTTTGTGGTAAACACATTTGCAATGAATTGTTGACATTCAATGCTTTGTACCAATAAAATACAATAAGCTATTGCTTTGTCCATTGAATATCCTGAGCTTTTTTGATGTAACTAATGACTTAAGATCACACTTTCTTAGGGGTATAAAACTTGAGAACAACTTGTAATAAAGAAGAAGCCATTGCTGTCACTGCACAGGTGTATGTGTATGTCTTGTGTCCATCTCTACAGTGACAGAAAACCATGGTTGACCAATCTCACAGCCACCTCTGCTGCACTGACTGGCTGGGTTTGTGAGGGGAGAGCAGTGGCTGTTTGTTGGAGCTTACTTTAGGTTGGGGTGGTTTTGCGTGGTGGAAAAATTTTTCTTTTAATTTGTGCTTTTAAAGAAAGGCTTAGAAGTTTTTTGTTGTTTGGTTTCAAGGTAGTTGATTGTAAGTTATTTAAAAGATTGTCTTCTTGGGTAGTTGTGGTTTGCTTAGTAGCTTAGGTAAAGGCACATACATACTTTGATATCTTTTTTGACTTTAGTTTTTTTCTTCTCTCCCCCCGCCCAGGGTTGGTGTTATTTTTTATACGGTACATTATGTGTTAAGTGTTTATAGTTTTTCTTTAATGCTTATTACGTCTATTAAATGGTGCTTTTTTACCCTAAATTAATTTGTGAGTGTTAACATTACTAAGAATATGGAGGTAAGGAAGAAGAAAGAGGGAGGACAGGATAGGCCTAAATCTCTTTATCTTAAAACTTTTGATTTTTATGTATAAAACTAAACCCCCCCTGTATAAGACTTAAAATCTTCTTGTATAGCACTTAAAAATTTTTCTTTTTACTTTGTGACTAATTTTACTATAATATTTAAACTTTTGCAACTTTTTGTTCTTTTTGTAAGGTTGGTAAATTATTCTATGGTTTAAATCTAAAATTACAGCTGTTTTTAGTTGCCTGCTAGGGTCTTAAATGCTTCTGACTTGGACTGGGAACATCTAAAAATGTCTGAGGGACATTTTGAGTTCTGACAGCTGTTGTCAGCCGGGACTTCAGCAAGGCTTTGTCCCGGCCTCCCATATCACGGTCATGGAGCAGCTCAGGGACAGTGGCGTAGAGAAGTGGGCAGTGGAGCTCCAAACTCGGAGAGCTGTGAGCTCAGGGGGCCGTGCTGGGGTCAGCCTTGTTTGCCCTATTCCCCAGTGACCTGGCAGAAGGGACGGAGCGCTCCCTCAGCAGGTTTGCTGATGGGACGGAAACGGGAGCAGGGGCTGATAAACCACACGGCTGTGCTGCCCTTCAGTGAGACCTGGGCATGCTTGAGAGTTGAGGAGAGAGGGACCTAGTGAAGTTGCACAGAGGAAAGCCTCTAGAAGAGTTTGAAGGTTTGTAATTACCAGGCAACAGAAGTTCTTTAATATAGAGGCGTGTATAACGTCATTTTGTGATGTCCACTCAGGGAAACCACTGCACCTCTGTATGTTACAGGAGCAGTTCCTTGTATGTATGTAAAAAAGTCTTTGAGACAAACCCTGAATTCAGAAACTTCCCCTAATATTATGTTGGATTTTCACAATTTTCTGGACTGCCTGGTGAAGCGTAAGGATTTCAAAAAGAAAGTGAAAGCAAACCAATAAATCCTGTTTTAGAGATCAGAAGCATTTCCTGTTTGTTCCTTGAAGAAGTTGCCAAATAACAAAACTTTTGAAATCCTTTCAAAGACCTAATAGGAAAAAGTATTGGCCAAAGTGTTAATCTGTGTTTCTGAATAGGAACATGCTTTTTGTTTCAATTCAAGGTTTGTAGCAGGGTTTGGGGTTTTTTGTGTGTGTCCTTTGAATGTGAGTTGCTTTTATGCAGGACTTTGAATGATTCGATCATGTACCCAAGAGAACATTTTACTGTGTCCTGCTGTCCAGTGCTGAACAGGGTTGAGACAGAGCAGGTGGCTCTGTGTCTGTGTGCAATGTGCAGGAGCAGCAGCAGAGCAGTGCCCGATGGCTGCCTCGGGGCCTGGCATTTGGCCCTGCACTTGCTGCAGGAGTCCCTGCCCGGGTTCCCTGCTGGCCCAACCTTCGCACCCATCTCAGAACCTGGGTTCCCAAGGGGGCCGCCTCAAGTGGTTGCCAGGAACCTGAGGCCATGGCTGCCCCACTTTTGGCTGCACGATGCTGATGTCAGAGTGGCCATTGTGACCCGCGCAACCAAGGCCTCCAAAGGGAAGGCTGGGCTCAGGCCGTGTGTCAGTGCGACCTGACAACGGGAGGAGAAGGCAGGGCAGGGACGCTGCTGCCCAGGGACCAGAGGAGCCCCACAGCTCGGGGCTCTGGGCCTGTGCTGCAGGTTCCCCTGCCTCTCCCTGCCCAGAATCAGCGGAGGAACAGCCAGAGCAGACTGCGGTGTTCCTCGAGGCGACGACGGGAGGAGAAGGCGGACAGGAGCAGGGCTCACGCAGGGCTCAGCAGGGAGTAGTGCCCTCGTGGCTCTGGGCCTGTGCTGCAAACTCCCCACCCTCCTCTTTCTCCCACAGAGAGAGAGGACCAGCACCTGGAGGAGACACTGACATTTCTGGACAGGGACTCACCGCTGACGGCTGCCATGTGTGACAGGCGGCAGGAGGGCCCTGGTGCCAGGGAGCCAGGTGAGGGCAAGGCCACCCTCCCACAGCCGGGCCCAGGGGCTCCTGTGGCAGGCGTTGTGTGGGGCCCAGAGCAGAGGCAGGGGGAGGCAGGAGCTGCTCAGCCATGCCGCGGCTGGGAGCCTCCTTCCTCCCCAAGTGGGGCCCAGCTGGGCCAGGGGGCAGCTCTTGGGACACCCGTGCCCGCAATGGCCCCTGCTCTCCAAGGCCTCCAGCCCTGCCCATCAGCCAGGCAGGCCGGCAGGGACAGAGCAGCCCTTGGGGCCGATGCTGCTGCAGCCAAAGAGCCCCGCAGAGGTGCTCATGCCCGCTGCCATTGGCTCTGTGCCCTGCAGCCTGCATGCTGTGTCGCCGTGCAGAGGCTGACCCGGACATCTGTGGTGACAAACTGGAGAAGCACGGGCTCTGTGCCCACGTGTTCTGCCTGGTGAGTGGCTCCGGGAGCTCCCTCCACCATTGCAATGGGCAGTTCCTGCCTCTCTCTCCTCATCTGCTCCTCCCCTCTGCTGCAGTTCTTTGCTACTGATCTTTTTGGTGAAGAGAACGACCGTGCTGGACTCATGGGATTTCTTCCTCAAGATATCCAAAATGTAGTACGGCGGGCGGCACAAAAGGTGAGAGCCTGATGCAAGCAGGGAGATTTGTGCCAGGTGAGGTTTGTTAGAGCTTAGCCCAGACACTAGGAATGAAAGGCCTGCCCTTCAGGCCGGCTGTGGGACAAAGTCTGGCTCCCAGCAGCTGCACAGAGGCTCTGGCACAGGAGCCCCCCTCTTCCACCAGACGGCTCTGTGGGCTGAGACCCAGCAGTGGCCACATCCTGCGCCCTGCCCGGAGCCCTGGGGCTGCCTGGGGAGGCCCCGAGGCTGCTGCTGATGGGGTTGCTTGGCTCTTTCCAGCGCTGCTGCGTCTGTGGCCAGAGCGGGGCAGCCATCATGTGCTGCATGCAGGGTTGTGACAGATGGTTCCACCTGCCCTGTGCCAAGGAGGGTGGCTGCATCACACAGTATATTCCATCTTACAGGTACAACCTACCCACTCCTGGTCACGCCTGGCAGAAGATCCAACATTTCTCACTTTGCCCATCCATTTTCCTCCAGCTCCTACTGCCCTGAGCACCGTCCAGAGCAGGACGTGGAGGCGACTCCAGAGCCGGGCACCAATTGCCTCATCTGCTTGGAGCCTGTGGAGGATAGAAAGACTTTCAGAACCCTGGTGTGCCCAGCGTGCAAAAGGGCCTGGTTCCACAGGGACTGCATCCAGGTAGGAGCCCTCTCCTCAGCCCCAGGGCACAGCAGGTGCTCAGCAGCACCAGGGCCTTGCTCACCCTGCTTCTGTTTGCCCTGCAGGGACAGGCCATGCGCACTGGTCTTTTCCATTTCCGGTGCCCCCATTGCAGAAGCCTAATGGTGTTCGCTTACGAAATGCTCAACCTGGGGATCCGAATCCCCTTCAGGTTGGTGTCCTTCTGCCTGCCTCAGAAGACAGGAGGTGCAAGGTCTGTGCTGTGTCAGGCCCTTCCCCACCAGTCCTGGCCCTGCCCTGTCCCGTGAGTCTGGGCTTCAGCTTCACGCACGCCTTGGAAAAGTACGGGAGAAAGAGCAGGGAACACCTGTACCTCCGTGAGGGGAGGGCAGCAGAAACTCATCAGCTTTTCCTTTCTCCATCAGACTGCCAACATGGGAGGACAACAATGCCTTCGTGGATCTAGGAGAGAGGCACAGCAGGTGCAATGCCAGGGATTGCCTTTACCCGGGAGGCAGGGAGGAGGCAGAGGAAGAGGGGTAAGTTGGGGAGCTGCACCTGAGGCTCTGCAGGGTACCCGTGTCACTTCAAGGGCTCAAAGAGAAAAGAACTAGAAGAGCTTGGCCGGACAATCACTTTGTCCTCAGTGCCATAAACCCATTTGCTTCCCCAGGCCCTGGGAACTGCTCCTGTGCTCCTCCTGCGCTGCTGAGGGCACCCACAGGCGCTGCTCCGGCCTGAGAAACAGCGTACAGAGCTGGGAGTGTGACAGCTGTGCTGGTCTTGGAACGGGTATGAGGCAAAGCACCCGGTGTCCCTGGGCTGGGGGCAGTGCCCAGGCTGGGCCTGGCAGAGCCCGTCTGCTCCTGAAGGGCTGGGGTTCTGCTCTGGCCAGGCTTGCCTTGGGCCTGGGTGGTCTTTGACATTCCTGCTTGTCCTTACAGCCTCCAGAGATGAGCCAGAGCTCAGTGGCCCCAGCCTGACCAGTCAGTCAGGACTGGAGCCTGCTCACAGCTCAGCAGAATCTGAGGCCATCAGCCCCAGCTCCCGCGGCCCGGTGCCATCGGGGCTGGCTCCCCAGGCTTCATCCGCAGAGACCAGCAGCACAGCACGGCAGCAGTCTCTGCCATCTCCCTCGCTGGACACCAGCAGCCCCAGCACACCAAGGTCATTGTACAGCAGCATCCCTGAGCCTGAGGACAGGGGCCATTCCAGACATGCTGGGCCCGGCCGCAGGCGCACCCGCTCCCGCCAGCAAGGTCGGGCCTCCAATGGACCAGTCCGATCGAGGAGTCGCTGTGACAGGCGCAGCAGGACAAGACCAAGGACTGAGAGGCCCAGGCGAAGGGAGACAGCTTCACAGGCATCCCCCAGACGCAGCCGCTCCCGCCAGCAACACCGGGCCCTCAGTCCACCCGTCCGGTCCAGGAGTCGCCGTGGCAGAAGCCACAGGACAGCAACAAGGACTGAGAGGCCCAGGCAAAGGCAGACACCATCACGAGTATCCCCCAGACGCAGCCGCTCCCGCCTGCAGCGCCGGGCCTCGAATCAACCTCTCCGGTCCAGGAGCTGCCAGGACAGGAGCAGCAGGGCAAGACCAAGGACTGAGAGGCCCAGGCGAAGGCAGACACCATCACGAGTATCCCCCAGACGCAGCCGCTCCCGCCAGCAAGGTCAGGCCCAGAGTCCACCTGTCCGGCCAAGCAGTCACCGTGATAGGAGTAGCAGAAGAAGACCAAGGAAGGAGAGGCCCAGGCAAAGGCAGACACCTTCACAGGCATCCCCCAGACGCAGCCGCTGCCGTCCGCAGCACCGGGCCTCGAATCAACCTCTCCGGTCCAGGAGTCGCCAGGACAGGAGCAGGAGGAGAGCAGCAAGTGCTGAGAGGCCCAGGCGCATGGGGACACCATCTGGGAGGTCCCGCAGAGGCAACCGCTCCCGCCAGCGGCGTCGAGCCTCAACTGGGACCTCCAACAGCAGCACGTAGCCTCGTCTTTTCTTTCTAGTCCATCTGTTCGCTGCCGGAAGTGAAGGTGAGAACGGTCCATACAGGGACCTTGAGATTTGTAGGTCTGTGAGAAAACTGTATTAGCTCTTGACATTTCTACTGGCAGGAAAGTAGTCTTGTGCTAAATCCCTTGACTTCTGTCTTACCATTTATTAAGTGAAAAGTCACTTAAATGATGTGGCTAATGAAAAAGGACTTTAGTTCTGGCCTTTTGACGCCAAGCTGAGATGTTTCCCCACTGCTCACTCTTGAAAGTGAACCTCTCCTTAATGGGCTTGGATACGGTTAGGGAGACGTTCAGAGCAAGGTGGCTCTTAGGGAAGCTGTCTTTGGAAAGGACGTGTGCTGTTTTGCTATCATTGAAAAATCTCATTTCAGTAAAGCCAAAAGGAAGAAGAAAGAAGAGAGTGGGACACTGCCTCAAGTGTCTGAAGAAATCCATTACTTTATTGCTGCTGACTTAAAAGATTTGTTTGGAGCTTCAAAGAACAAACCAGAAAAGACTGTGGAAATACCCTGGGACAAAGAGGATGCACAGGACTCTGCCCCAGATGACCATTTGGGACTTTTGCCCAAGAACAAGGCAGCTCAGGAGTCGAGCGCGTTCAAGTTTTCCTTCTTTGGAGACACAGAGGAGTTGGGCATCAAAGAAGGTAACAGCAGAACCCTTCTCACAGTGCCATTTCTAAGGAAGAGCTTCTGGCAGGCACTGTAGAGCATTGTGGTGTAAAGAAGGTCAGGACACAGGGGATTTTCAGCAGCAGAAGTCAGTAATTAGGCAGAAGCATTTTGATCTTCATTTCTGCTTGCCAAGGCTGTGGTAGATTAATGAGCGGTAAGTCATGCTTGCATCTCAGGAATTCTGAAAGGCATGCTTTGAGAAGGCATTGGGATTTTTGCTGAGTGGTGAAAAGGCTTGTTGTCATGCCCTGAATCTCTCAAACAGGGAGAAAGGTGACACACCAGTCATATCAAGTTTCAGAGAACCCAACAAGATTTTAAAGGAAATGTGTGTTAATGTAGAGGGAGGAGCAAAAGCCTGGAGTTGACCAGGAGATCCATGGACATTCTGCTTGTTACTGAATTCAATTCTTGGACCTATAGAAGAAGGAACCTGAATGACACATGATGGTTGGGATGTTCTAACTGTAGATAAAATGAGGCCTTATGAAAAGAAGACGAAACAACATTAAATCGAGTCACAGTCCTGTAGGAGAGAAAAGAAACCATGTGAAGTTATCCAAAATATTTAAAAAAACCTATGCAAAACCGCAAAGCAACGAGCCCCCCACAGTTGTGCTGAATTCAGAAGGTATTCAGTGTCTTCTGAATGCAACGATACATTCATTAGAATACAGCAGAGATCCCGAGAACAGAGAGGAAAATCCTGGAGCAGAGATGTAGCTCAGAAAATCTGGCAGAAGCAGATTCTGTCCTTCCTACATCTGTCTTCTCCACTGTAAGTAAGTATTTGTCTTGAAAGGAGGAATTCTTCCTGACAAGTGGAGAGAATAATCTAGATGTGGCTTTGTTTCTTTTTGGGTGCTCTTATTGCAGAGTCTTGCAGACTCGGAACAATAAAGCCGGTAAAAGTCACATGGCAAGAGGATTCACGTTTCCAAGACAGCAGTTCTGAGGGTGATGATGAGCCTGAGACGTGAGAAACTGAAAAGGACCAAGAAATGCAAGTTCCATTTCTATTTGCTGTCTACCTGGCTGTAGTAGTTGGATGCTGTGGGAATATTAATAGCAGCACTCAGGGAATGGGAAACTGAGATTGCACACCTCTGAGCAATGAAAGTCATCTTGGAAAACCATTTGTGCTGCCCAGAGTCAAAACTCCCAGCAGCCCATGTGATGTGAAGTTGAATATGAAAAGAGAGATGTTGAGCACAAGAAATTAACTGGCTCATTTTGGTTTGACCAACTCCAAACTGAGTTTGGCCAGAAGCCAAAGACACAGTCAGTTTTCTGTTAAGAAGCTGATTATTTTTTTTCTAGAAGGCTCTATTTGGCTACTAGGGAATAAAGCTTTTCAATGTATACCATTTCTCTGAAGCACTGCAGTTTTAACTTGCTTTCATGGCATTTGATAGCACAATTTTGGGTGCTAAAATCCCTTTGTACTTGTCTAGGTTTGTTTCTTTACCACGCACAGAAAGTGCTAGAGTTTTCTTCTTCTCCAAAGATGATGAATGCCTAAGAGGTATGACAGAATTTCTTCACCCCCTTTTGTATTTTTTTAAATTCTTCCTGGAATTCTGTGAGGAGGGGAAAATGCTGCCTGCTTAGGAATGTTTTCTAGTCAATTCTTGGCATCCTTACTTGTGCTCAAAATTGTGGTAGAATCCTGTGAGAAAGTCCTGGTAAAATAAAGGCCAAGCAGATTTCTGGCTTTCTTCTCTTTCAGGTAATTGCCTACTAGGAATCTGGACTTTTACACCTTACCAAAACATTAGCCCCATGACAGGTTACTTAGACATTTTGGATCCTTTCAGGTATTTATATAATTTTTAACTTTTTCCTGTCTTTCTGGAGTTACCATTAGGAAATCTGTGTTCTTGTCAGCCACATAGGTCCCTGTGGTTCTTTGTCCTAATGAATCTGGGGTTTTCTCTTCTGAATCCAGGGGATTTTGTATTTAGAAACAAAGAAAACAACAACCAAACGAAACACAGAGTCCCCAAAAATTGCAGAGGCCAGCAAAACAATTGCTTGTTATATGTTTTGTAGAATAGAGTCTTAAGACAGGCTTAAATGGTGTGCATTTCTCAAGACTGACTCGATAACGCTGCAGAAATGTATTGCTGTGTTCATACAGTTAGTGCCCAGCACTCTTCCAGACGGTCTGATTTGCAGGGGGTGTTAAAATGGAGAGCTCAGTCCTTAGCAGTCCCCACTTCTGGGGGAAGATGTGTGATCCTGGTGCTGAGCTTCTAATGAAACAGCGGCTATTTCACTGCAATTTAGACTGCAGCATGCTGAGGAAAACTGCTGCTGCTTTTCATTGTCCTGTGGGCACCAGGCTGCAGTAGGGAACATTTCTGTTGGGAGACAACGTCTGGTGGGGGGCAAGAGGTGAAGAATTGACTCCTGGCTTTATTGCTGTGTTGTCCATGATTGTTAGAAGCAGCAGCACAATCAGAAGTGTTTAAGCCTATTAATTGGTTCTTTTTTTTTTTTTCACAGAGGGCCCAAAGTTATTTTGTAGATCAGTAGAGTTCAGTGAAGAAAAAGGGTTGGGAAGACTGACGTAGATTATTGCTTGAGGTGAGTATGTAACATCTGTTCCCTGGGAACTGTAGGTGAAAGCTGAGCACGGGGAGGGAATGCAGGTATGAATGGGTGTTGCTGTGCGAGACCAGCTCTGGGCAGGCGCCTTCAGCCACGGCGGGAGGAGGGGAGAGGCGGCGGCTGCTTTTCCCCCTTCGGCTCTGCGAGGCTCAGTTTTAGCACGGGAACAGACGAAATGGCGACACGGGTCTCGGGTGCAAACACGTGTTTATTGTAGAAACGTGTTCCCGAGACACCGGGGCACCGAGCAGGGGTCAGTTATACCCCGTGCCGGGGCGGGGTCGGGAACCTCAGCCGTGGCCAGTGGGACGGGAGGCAGGGGACAGGGGCATGGAAACCCCGGAGACCGTGATGGGAAAGGTGGGGGGGGCTGGGACGGACCGCGTGGTGAGGGGAAAGGCGGAGGGGCGGGGGACAGGGACCGGACCGCATGGTGAGAGGGAGTGATAAGGGAACGCAGGGTCGAGACAAGGGACCGCGGGGGGAGGGCGAGTGAGAAGGGGACGCAGGACAAAGGGGGAATGCGCGGGAAGGGGGGAGGGGGGTTGGGGGGAAAGAAGAGAAAATTACAAATCCTACAAATGGGCATGCAGAATTAATTCAGGACCTCAAGAAGAGCCTGCAACTTTGCAACTCCCCAGGAACAGAAGTGTTTTAGTCTACCAGTGTGTATAACATCATGTTGTGTTGTTTTGTCCAATCAGGTAAACCACTGCATCTTTGTATGTTACAGGAGCAGCTACTTAACTGTATGTAAAGGATGTATTTAAGAGAAGGAGTGAATTTAGAGACTTCTCCTAATAGTGGATTCAGAAACTTCTCTGAAGAATTTGTTAGATTTTCATTTTTTCCCGGAATGCTGAAGGAAGCATAGGGACACCAAATAGAAATGCAAGGAAACCAATAAAGTCTTTAGTGAATAAAACGTGCCATGTTTGTTCCTTGAAGAAGTCGCCAAACAATGTTACTTCCAAAACCCTTTCAAAGATCTAAGAGGAAAAAGTATTGGCAAACCCTGTTCGGCAGTGTTTCCAAGCTGGGGGTGATGGCCTTGGGTGCTGGGGAGCCACGGGAAGGCTCCAGTCCTGACTGTCCGGCCAGGCTGGGGCCATTGAGCTCCAGCTCATCCCTGGCGGCTCTAAGGGCAAGCAGAAATGGCAAAGGCCCCCAAGACCCGATCCAGGCCAGGCCTGGGCACTGCCCCCAGCCCAGGGACACGCGGGTGCTTTGCCCAGAGCCGTGCCCATAGCAGCAGAGCTGTCTCACCCCAGCTGGCTGTGGTGGGTGTGAGGCTCCAGCAGTGCCCGTGGGTGCCCTGGGCAGCGCATCAGCAGCAGCACAGGAGCTGTTGGCAGGGCTTTGGGAAGCACAGGGGTCAGCCTCTGCACGGCGACACAGCATGCACACTGCAGGGCACAGAGCCAATGGCAGCGGGCATGAGCACCTCTGCGGGGCTCTTTGGCTGCAGCAGCATCGGCCCCAAGGGCTGCTCTGTCCCTGCCGGCCTGCCTGGCTGATGGGCAGGGCTGGAGGCCTTGGAGAGCAGGGGCCATTGCGGGCACGGGTGTCCCAAGAGCTGCCCCCTGGCCCAGCTGGGCCCCACTTGGGGAGGAAGGAGGCTCCCAGCCGCGGCATGGCTGAGCAGCTCCTGCCTCCCCCTGCCTCTGCTCTGGGCCCCACACAACGCCTGCCACAGGAGCCCCTGGGCCCGGCTGTGGGAGGGCGGCTTTGCCCTCACCTGGCTCCCTGGCACCAGGGCCCTCCTGCCGCCTGTCACACATGGCAGCCGTCAGCGGTGAGTCCCTGTCCAGAAAAGTCTCCTCCAGGTGCTGGTCCTCTCTCTCTGTGGGAGAAAGAGGAGGGTGGGGAGTTTGCAGCACAGGCCCAGAGCCACGAGGGCACTACTCCCTGCTGAGCCCTGCGTGAGCCCTGCTCCTGTCCGCCTTCTCCTCCCGTCGTCGCCTCGAGGAAAACCGCAGTCTTCTCTGTCTGTTCTTCGTCTGATTCTGGGCAGGGAGAGGCAGGGGAACCTGCAGCACAGGCCCAGAGCCCCGAGCTGTGGGGCTCCTCTGGTCCCTGGGCAGCAGCGTCCCTGCCCTGCCTTCTCCTCCCGTTGTCAGGTCGCACTGGCACACGGCCTGAGCCCAGCCTTCCCTTTTGGGGCCAAGGGAAATATCTGCCCCTGCCTCTGGCTCAGGGTGCTCTGCCGGCAGGTCAGGGAAGGTGATACCCCCAGAGAGAGGTGTGAGCAGTGGAGGAAAGCCTCTCCAGTCTTCCCAAAGGGCACCAAGGAGCCAGGAAACTGCAGGCCTATCAGCCTCACTCCATCCCCAGAAAGGTGACAGAATAGCTCCTCTTGGATGTCATCTCTAAGCCTGTGGAATAACAGGAAGGGAAAACTGTGGGTGGGCTTACAGCTGTTCTGCAGGTCAAACGACTGAGTTAGCAGAAGAAGAAATTAATAAAATACAAGTTTATCCATGGCAAGGAAGAAAGCAAGGTTCTTAACATGGAAACTGATAAACACATTGGGGTTACTTGTAGTTGCCTTAGTGAGCAGCGTGCATGCCTTCATATTTTGTGGTAAACACATTTGCAATGAATTGTTGGCATTCAATGCTTTGTACCAATAAAATACAATAAGCTATTGCTTTGTCCATTGAATATCTTGAGCTTTTTTGATGTAACTAATGACATAATATCACACTTTCTTAGGGGTATGAAAACTTGAGAACAACTTGTAATAAAAAAGAAGCCATTGCTGTCACTGCACAGGTGTATGTGTATGTCTTGTGTCCATCTCTACAGCGACAGAAAACCATGGTTGACCAATCTCACAGCCACCTCTGCTGCACTGACTGGCTGGGTTTGTGAGGGGAGAGCAGTGGCTGTTTGTTGGAGCTTATTTTAGGTTGGGGTGGCTTTGTGTGGTGGAAAAAATTTTCTTTTAATTTGTGCTTTTAAAAAAAGGCTTAGAAGTTTTTTGTTATTTGGTTTTAAGGTAGTTTATTGTAAGTTATTTAAAAGATTGTCTTCTTGGGTAGTTGTGGTTTGCTTAGTAGCTTAGGTAAAGGCACATACATACTTTGATCTATTTTTTGACTTTTGTTTTTTTCTTCTCTCCACCCGCCCAGGGTTGCTGTTATTTTTTATGTGGTACATTATGTGTTAAATGTTTATAGTTTTTCTTTAATGCTTATTACTTATATTAAATGGTGCTTTTTTACCCTAAATTAATTTGTGAGTGTTAACATTACTAAGAATATGGAGGTAAGGAAGAAGAAAGAGGGAGGACAGGATAGGCCTAAATCTCTTTATCTTAAAACTTTTGATTTTTATGTATAAAACTAAAACCCCCCTATATAAGACTTAAAATCTTCTTGTATAGCACTTAAAATTTTTTCTTTTTACTTTGTGACTAATTTTACTATAATATTTAAACTTTTGCAACTTTTTGTTCTTTTTGTAAGGTTGTTAAATTATTCTATGGTTTAAATCTAAAATGACAGCTGTTTTTAGTTGCCTGCTAGGGTCTTAAATGCTTCTGACTTGGACTTGGAACATCTAAAAATGTCTGAGGGACATTTTGTGTTCTGACAGCTGTTGTCAGCCCGGACTTCAGCAAGGCTTTGTCCCGGCCTCCCATATCACGGTCATGGAGCAGCTCAGGGACAGTGGCGTAGAGAAGTGGGCAGTGGAGCTCCAAACTCAGAGAGCTGTGAGCTCAGGGGGCCGTGCTGGGGTCAGCCTTGTTTGCCCTATTCCCCAGTGACCTGGCAGAAGGGACGGAGCGCTCCCTCAGCAGGTTTGCTGATGGGACAGAAACAGGAGCAGAGGCTGATAAACCACACGGATGTGCTGCCCTTCAGTGAGACCTGGGCATGCTTGAGAGTTGAGCAGAGAGGGACCTAGAGAAGTTGCACAGAGGAAAGCCTCTAGAAGAGTTTGAAGGTTTGTAATTACCAGGCAACAGAAGTTCTTTAGTATAGAGGCGTGTATAACGTCATTTTGTGATGTCCACTCAGGGAAACCACTGAACCTCTGTATGTTACAGGAGCAGTTCCTTGTATGCATGTAAAAAAGTCTTTGAGACAAACTGTGAATTCAGAAACTTCCCCTAATATTATGTTGGATTTTCACAATTTTCTGGACTGCCTGGTGAAGCGTAAGGATTTCAAAAAGAAAGTGAAAGCAAACCAATAAATCTTGTTTTAGATATCAGAAGCATTCCCTGTTTGTTCCTTGAAGAAGTTGCCAAACAACAAAACTTTTGAAATCCTTCCAAAGATCTAATAGGAAAAAGTATTGGCCAAAGTGTTAATCTGTGTTTCTGAATAAGAACATGCTTTTTGTGTCAATTCCAGGTTTGTAGCAGGGTTTGGGGCTTTTTGTGTGTGTCCTTTGAATGTGAGTTGCTTTTATGCAGGACTTTGAATGATTCGATCATGTACCCAAGAGAACATTTTACTGTGTCCTGCTGTCCAGTGCTGAACCGGGTTGAGACAGAGCAGGTGGCTCTGTGTCTGTGTGCAACGTGCAGGAGCAGCACCAGGAGCAGCAGCAGAGCAGTGCCCGATGGCTGCCTCGGGACCTGGCATTTGGCCCTGCACTTGCTGCAGGAGTCCCTGCCCGGGTTCCCTGCTGGCCCAACCTTCGCACCCATCTCAGAACCTGGGTTCCCAAGGGGGTTGCCTCAAGTGGTTGCTAGGAACCTGAGGCCATGGCTGCCCCAGTTTTGGCTGCACGATGCTGATGTCAGAGTGGCCATTGTGACCCGCGCAACCAAGGCCTCCAAAGGGAAGGCTGGGCTCAGGCCGTGTGTCAGTGCGACCTGACAACGGGAGGAGAAGGCAGGGCAGGGACGCTGCTGCCCAGGGACCAGAGGAGCCCCACAGCTCGGGGCTCTGGGCCTGTGCTGCAGGTTCCCCTGCCTCTCCCTGCCCACAATCAGAGGAAGAACAGACAGAGCAGACTGCGGTTTTCCTCGAGGCGACGACGGGAGGAGAAGGCGACAGGAGCAGGGCTCACGCAGGGCTCAGCAGGGAGTAGTGCCCTCGTGGCTCTGGGCCTGTGCTGCAAATTCCCCACCCTCCTCTTTCTCCTACAGAGAGAGAGGACCAGCACCTGGAGGAGACTTTTCTGGACAGGGACTCACCGCTGACGGCTGCCATGTGTGACAGGCGGCAGGAGGGCCCTGGTGCCAGGGAGCCAGGTGAGGGCAAAGCCGCCCTCCCACAGCCGGGCCCAGGGGCTCCTGTGGCAGGCGTTGTGTGAGCCCAGAGCAGAGGCAGGGGGAGGCAGGAGCTGCTCAGCCATGCTGCGGCTGGGAGCCTCCTTCCTCCCCAAGTGGGGCCCAGCTGGGCCAGGGGGCAGCTCTTGGGACACCCGTGCCCGCAATGGCCCCTGCTCTCCAAGGCCTCCAGCCCTGCCCGTCAGCCAGGCAGGCAGGCAGGGACAGAGCAGCCCTTGGGGCCGATGCTGCTGCAGCCAAAGAGCCCCGCAGAGGTGCTCATGCCCGCTGCCATTGGCTCTGTGCCCTGCAGTGTGCATGCTGTGTCGCCGTGCAGAGGCTGACCCGGACGTCTGCGGTGACAAACTGGAGAAGCACGGGCTCTGTGCCCACGTGTACTGCCTGGTGAGTGGCTCCGGGCGCTCCCTCCACCATTGCAATGGGCAGTTCCTGCCTCTCTCTCCTCATCTGCTCCTCCCCTCTGCTGCAGTTCTTTGCCACTCTACTTTATGCTCAAGAGGACGAACATGTTGGACTCTTTGGATATCTTCCTCGAGATATCCTAGTTGTAGTGCGGCGGGCGGCACAAAAGGTGAGAGCCTAATGCAAGCAAGGAGATTTGTGCCAGGTGAGGTTTGCCAGAGCTTAGCCCAGACACTTGGAATGGAAGGCCTGCCCTTCAGGCCGCTGTGGGAGAAAATCTGGCTCCCAGCAGCTGCACAGAGGCTCTGGCACAGGAGCCCCCCTCCTTACACCAGACAACTCTGTGGGCTGAGACCCAGCAGTGGCCACATCCTGCGCCCTGCCCGGAGCTCTGGGGCTGCCTGGGGAGGCCCCGAGGCTGCTGCTGATGGGGTTGCTTGGCTCTTTCCAGCGCTGCTGCGTCTGTGGCCAGAGCGGGGCAACCATCATGTGCTGCATGGAGGACTGTGACAGATGGTTCCACCTGCCCTGTGCCAAGGAGGGCGGCTGCGTCACACAGTATATTCCATATTACAGGTACAACCTCCCCACTCCTGGTCACCCCTGGCAGAAAATCCAACATTTCTCACTTTGCCCATCCATTTTCCTCCAGCTCCTACTGCCCTGAGCACCGTCCAAAGCAGGACGTGGAGGCGACTCCAGAGCCGGACACCAGTTGCCTCATCTGCTTGGAGCCTGTGGAGGATAGAAAGACTTTCAGAACCTTGGTGTGCCCAGTGTGCAAAAGGGCCTGGTTCCACAGGGACTGCATCCAGGTAGGAGCCCTCCCCTCAGCCCCAGGGCACAGCAGGTGCTCAGCAGCACCAGGGCCTTGCTCACCCTGCTTCTGTTTGCCCTGCAGGGACAGGCCATGCGCGCTGGTCTTTTATATTTCCGGTGCCCCTATTGCAGAGACGAGGAGGCATTCCTTGTCGAAATGTTCGCCCTGGGGATCCGAATCCCCTTCAGGTTGGTGTCCTTCTGCCTGCCTCACAAGACAGGAGGTGCAAGGTCTGTGCTGTGTCAGGCCCTTCCCCACCAGTCCTGGCCCTGCCCTGTCCCGTGAGTCGGGGCTTCAGCTTCACGCACGCCTTGGAAAAGTACGGGAGGAAGAGCAGGGAACACTTGTACCTCCGTGAGGGGAGGGCAGCAGTAACTAATCAGCTTTTCCGTTCTCCATCAGACTGCCAACATGGGAGGACAACGATGCCTTCGCGGATCTAGGAGAGAGGCACAGCAGGTGCAATGCCAGGGATTGCCTTTACCCGGGAGGCAGGGAGGAGGCAGAGGAAGAGGGGTAAGTTGGGGAGCTGCAGCTGAGGCTCTGCAGGGTACCCGTGTCACTTCAAGGGCTCAAAGAGGAAAGAACTAGAAGAGCTTGGCTGGACAATCACTTTGTCCTCAGTGCCATAAACCTAGTTGCTTCCCCAGGCCCTGGGAACTGCTCCTGTGCTCCTCCTGTGCTGCTGAGGGCACCCACAGGCGCTGCTCCGGCCTGAGAAACAGCGTACAGAGCTGGGAGTGTGACAGCTGTGCTGGTCTTGGAACGGGTATGAGGCAAAGCACCCGGTGTCCCTGGGCTGGGGGCAGTGCCCAGGCTGGGCCTGGCAGAGCCCGTCTGCTCCTGAAGGGCTGGGGTTCTGCTCTGGCCAGGCTTGCCTTGGGCCTGGGTGGTCTTTGACATTCCTGCTTGTCCTTACAGCCTCCAGAGATGAGCCAGAGCTCAGTGGCCCCAGCCTGACCAGTCAGTCAGGACTGGAGCCTGCTCACAGCTCAGCAGAATCTGAGGCCATCAGCCCCAGCTCCCGCGGCCCGGTGCCATCGGGGCTGGATCCCCAGGCTTCATCCGCAGAGACCAGCAGCACAGCACGGCAGCAGTCTCTGCCATCTCCCTCGCTGGACACCAGCAGCCCCAGCACACCAAGGTCATTGTACAGCAGCATCCCTGAGCCTGAGGACAGGGGCCATTCCAGACATGCTGGGCCCGGCCGCAGGCGCACCTGCTCCCGCCAGGAAGGTCGGGCCTCCAATGGACCAGTCCGATCGAGGAGTCGCTGTGACAGGCGCAGCAGGACAAGACCAAGGACTGAGAGGCCCAGGCAAAGGGAGACACCTTCACAGGCATCCCCCAGACGCAGCCGCTCCCGCCAGCAACACCGGGCCCTAAGTCCACCTGTCCGGTCCAGGAGTCGCCGTGACAGAAGCCACAGGACAGCAACAAGGACAGAGGGGCCCAGGCAAAGGGAGACACCATCAGGGACATCCCCCAGACGCAGCCGCTCCCGCCATCAAGGTCAGGCCCAGAGCCCACCTGTCCGGCCAAGCAGTCACCGTGATAGAAGTAGCAGAACAAGACCAAGGACTGAGAGGCCCAGGCAAAGGCAGACACCTTCATGGGAATCCCCCAGACGCAGCCGCTCCCGCCATCAAGGTCGGGCCCTAAGTCCACCTGTCCGGTCCAGGATTCGCCGTGACAGCAGCCACAGGACAGCAACAAGGACTGAGAGGCCCAGGCAAAGGGAGACACCGTCAGGGACGTCCCCCAGACGCAGCTGCTGCCGCCCGCAGCACCGGACCTCGAATCAACCTCTCTGGTCCAGGAGTCGCCAGGACAGGAGCAGGAGGAGAGCAGCAAGTGCTGAGAGGCCCAGGCGCACGGGGACACCATCAGGGAGGTCCTGCAGAGGCAACCGCTCCCGCCAGCGGCGTCGAGCCTCCACTGGGACCTCCAACAGCAGCACGTAGACTCGTCTTTTCTTTCTAGTCCATCTGTTCGCTGCCGGAAGTGAAGGTGAGAACGGTCCATACAGGGACCTTGAGATTTGTAGGTCTGTGAGAAAACTGTATTAGCTCTTGACATTTCTACTGGCAGGAAAGTAGTCTTGTGCTAAATCCCTTGACTTCTGTCTTACCATTTATTAAGTGAAAAGTCACTTAAATGATGTGGCTAATGAAAAAGGACTTTAGTTCTGGCCTTTTGACGCCAAGCTGAGATGTTTCCCCACTGCTCACTCTTGAAAGTGAACCTCTCCTTAATGGGCTTGGATACGGTTAGGGAGACGTTCAGAGCAAGGTGGCTCTTAGGGAAGCTGTCTTTGGAAAGGACGTGCGCTGTTTTGCTATCATTGAAAAATCTCATTTCAGTAAAGCCAAAAGGAAGAAGAAAGAAGAGAGTGAGACACTGCCTCAAGTGTCTGAAGAAATCCATTACTGTATTGCTGATGATTTAAAAGACTTGTTTGGAGCTTCAAAGAACAAACCAGAAAAGACTGTGGAAATACCCTGGGACAAAGAGGATGCACAGGACTCTGCCCCAGATGACCATTTGGGACTTTTGCCCAAGAACAAGGCAGCTCAGGAGTCGAGCGCTTTCAAGTTTTCCTTCTTTGGAGACACAGAGGAGTCGGGCATCAAAGAAGGTAACAGAAGAACCCTTCTCACAGTGCCATTTCTAAGGAAGAGCTTCTGGCAGGCACTGTAGAGCACTGTGGTGTAAAGAAGGTCAGGACGCAGAGGATTTTCAGCAGCAGAAATCAGTAATTAGGCTGAAGCATTTTGATCTTCATTCCTGCTTGCCAAGGCAGTGGTAGATTAATGAGCGGTAAGTCATGCTTGCATCTCAGGAATTCTGAAAGGCATGCTTTCAGAAGGCATTGGGGTTTTTGCTAAGTGGTGAAAAGGCTTGTTGTCATGCCCTGAATCTCTCAAACAGGGAGAAAGGTGACACACCAGTCATATCAAGTTTCAGAGAACCCAACAAGATTTTAAAGGAAATGTGTGTTAATTTAGAGGGAGGAGCAAAAGCCTGGAGTTGACCAGGAGATCCATGGACATTCTGCTTGTTACTGAATTCAATTCTTGGACCTATAGAAGAAGGAACCTGAATGACACGTGATGGTTGGGATGTTCTAACTGTAGATAAAATGAGGCCTTATAGAAAGAAGACGAAACAACATTAAATCGAGTCACAGTCCTGTAGGAGAGAAAAGAAACCGTGTGAAGTTATCCAAAATATTAAAAAAAACCTATGCAAAACCACAAAGCAACGAGCCCCCCACAGTTGTGCTGAATTCAGAAGGTACTCAGTGTCTTCTGAATGCAACGATACATTCATTAGAATACAGCAGAGATCCCGAGAACAGAGAGGAAAATCCTGGAGCAGAGATGTAGCTCAGAAAATCTGGCAGAAGCAGATTCTGTCCTTCCTACATCTGTCTTCTCCACTGTAAGTAAGTATTTGTCTTGAAAGGAGGAATTCTTCCTGACAAGTGGAGAGAATAATCTAGATGTGGCTTTGTTTCTTTTTCGGTGCTGTTATTGCAGAGTCTTGCGGACGCGGAACAATAAAGCCGGTAAAAGTCACATGGCAAGAGGATTCACGTTTCCAAGACAGCAGTTCTGAGCGTGATGATGAGCCTGAGACGTGAGAAACTGAAACGGACCAAGAAATGTAAGTTCCGTTTCTATTTGCTGTCTACCTGGCTGTAGTAGTTGGATGCTGTGGGAATATTAATAGCAGCGCTCAGGGAAGGGGAAACTGAGATTGCACACCTCTGAGCAATGAAAGTCGTCTTGGAAAACCATTTGTGCTGCCCAGAGTCAAAACTCGCAGCAGCCCATGTGACATGAAGCTGAATATGAAAAGAGAGATGTTGAGCACAAGAAATTAACTGGCTCATTTTGGTTTGACCAACTCCAAACTGAGTTTGGTCAGAAGCCAAATACACAGTCAGTTTTCTTTTAGGAAGAGGTTTATTTTTTTTCTAGAAGGCTCTATTTGGCTACTAGGGAATAAAGCTTTTCAATGTATACCATTTCTCTGAAGCACTACAGTTTTAACTTGCATTCATGGGATTTGATAGTACAATTTTGGATGCTAAAATCCCTTTGTACTTGTCTAGGTTTGTTTCTTTACCGCGCACAGAAGGTGCTAGAGTTGTCTTCTTTGAAGATGATGATGAATGCCTAAGAGGTATGTCAGAATTTCTTCACCCCCTTTTGTATTTTTTTAAATTCTTCCTGGAATTCTGTGAGGAGGGAAAAATGCTGCCTGCTTAGGAATGTTTTCTAGTCAATTCTTGGCATCCTTACTTGTGCTCAAAATTGTGGTAGAATCCCGTGAGAAAGTCCTGGTAAAATAAAGGCCAAGCAGAATTCTGGCTTTCTTCTCTTTCAGGTAATTGCCTACTAGGAATCTGGACTTTTACACCTTACCAAAACATTAGCCCCATGACAGGTTACCTAGACATTTTGGATCCTTTCAGGTATTTATATAATGTTTAACTTTTTCCTGTCTTTCTGGAGTTACCATTAGGAATTCTGTGTTCTTGTCAGCCACATAGGTCCCTGTGGTTCTTTGTCCTAATGAATCTGGGGTTTTCTCTTCTGAATCCAGGGGATTTTGTATTTAGAAACAAAGAAAACAACAACCAAAGGAAACACACAGAGTCCCCAAAAATTGCAGAGGCCAGCAAAACAATTGCTTGTTATATGTTTTGTAGAATAGAGTCTTAAGACAGGCTTAAATGGTGTGCATTTCTCAAGACTGACTCGATAACGCTGCAGAAATGTATTGCTGTGTTCATACAGTTAGTGCCCAGCACTCTTCCAGACGGTCTGATTTGCAGGGGGTGTTAAAATGGAGAGCTCAGTCCTTAGCAGGCCTCAGTTCTGGGGGAAGATGTGTGATCCTGGTGCTGAGCTTCTAAAGAAACAGCGGCTATTTCACTGCAATTTAGACTGCAGCATGCTGAGGAAAACCGCTGCTGCCTTTCATTGTCCTGCGGACACCAGGCCGCAGTAGGGAACATTTCTGTTGGGAGACAACGTGTGGTGGGGGGCAAGAGAACAGGAAGGATGTGAAGAATTGACTCCTGACTTTATTGCTGTGTTGTCCATGATTGTTAGAAGCAGCGGCACAATCAGAAGTGTTTAAGCCTATTAATTGGTTCTTTTTTTTTGTGCAGAGGGCCCGAAGTTTTTTTGTAGATCAGTAGAGTTCAGTGAAGAAAAAGGGTTGGGAAGACTGACGTAGATTATTGCTTGAGGTGAGTATGTCACATCTGTTCCCTGGGAACTGTAGGTGAAAGCTGAGCACGGGGAGGGAATGCAGGTATGAATGGGTGTTGCCGTGCGAGACCAGCTCTGGGCAGGCGCCTGCAGCCACGGCGGGAGGAGGGGAGAGGCGGCGGCTGCTTTTCCCCCTTCGGCTCTGCGAGGCTCAGTTTTAGCACGGGAACAGACGAAATGGCGACACGGGGCTCGGGTGCAAACACGTGTTTATTGCAGAAGCGTGTTCCCGAGACACCGGGGCACCGAGCGGGGGTCGGTTATACCCCGTGCCGGGACGGGGTCGGGAAACTCAGCCGTGGCCAGTGGGACGGGAGGCAGGGGACAGGGGCATGGAAACCCCGGAGACCGTGATGGGAAAGGTGGGGGGGGCAGGGACGGACCGCGTGGTGAGGGGAAAGGCGGAGGGGCGGGGGACAGGGACCGGACCGCATGGTGAGAGGGAGTGATAAGGGAACGCAGGGTCGAGACAAGGGACCGCGGGGGGAGGGCGAGTGAGAAGGGGACGCAGGACAAAGGGGGAATGCGCGGGAAGGGGGGAGGGGGGTTGGGGGGGAAGAAGAGAAAATGACAAATCCTACAAATGGGCATGCAGAATTAATTCAGGACCTCGAGAAGAGCCTGCAACTTTGCAACTCCCCAGGAACAGAAGTGTTTTAGTCTACCAGTGTGTATAACATCATGTTGTGTTGTTTTGTCCAATCAGGTAAACCACTGCATCTTTGTATGTTACAGGAGCAGCTACTTAACTGTATGTAAAGGATGTATTTAAGAGAAGGAGTGAATTTAGAGACTTCTCCTAATAGTGGATTCAGAAACTTCTCTGAAGAATTTGTTAGATTTTCATTTTTCCCGGAATGCTGAAGGAAGCATAGGGACACCAAATAGAAATGTAAGGAAACCAATAAAGTCTTTAGTGAATAAAATGTGCCATGTTTGTTCCTTGAAGAAGTTGCCAAACAATGTTACTTCCAAAACCCTTTCAAAGATCTAAGAGGAAAAAGTATTGGCAAACCCTGTTCGGCAGTGTTTCCAAGCTGGGGGTGATGGCCTTGGGTGCTGGGGAGCCACGGGAAGGCTCCAGTCCTGACTGTCCGGCCAGGCTGGGGCCATTGAGCTCCAGCTCATCCCTGGCGGATCTAAGGGCAAGCAGGAATGGCAAATAGTGGTTGCTATGGAAATGTTCATTTGATACATAAAGCTGGAATTGGATGTTTGTTTCCCTCTGACTTGCAGCTCCTCCTAATCCGCTCCCCATTGGTAACAGCTGCCTTTTGCAAGGCATCTGGAGGGATGGTATGAGTGTCCTGCTCTGGGCAAAGTGAGCCAAGGCAGGTTTGTGACTTAAATTGGTGATCTGAGCTAACTTGTGTGAGTCTTTGAGGGATGAGATAGAGCTCTTCTGTTGCCTCTGAGGTGGAGGTGGCAGGGCTTGGGCGAGAGACAGGTGGCAAGTTCACGTGGATAATGTAGTTTTCTAATTCAGCTTCACTTGGTACAAGATTTAGATCTACTTGTTCCAGTGTTTTTAGGACAAGGGCTATTCTTACATCTTATATGACAGCAGATTTATCACCAGACCATGCTAAAGCTTGTTTTATAGCAGTGCTACTAGATTGCTACCCATGCTTGTTTTAACCACTGATTTTCCTCGGTTCTTTAGATGGGGTAGGACAGGACATATTTTGGGGTTGGAGAAGAACTGCACTTCTGGGAACATGCATGTTTTCATTTTGATGACTAGGACAGCAGGAGCTCCAATTCAGGATATATCTGAATGTTTTCTACTGGTTTTATCACAGCATGAATTGCTGGTCATCAGATGAATGATTTGTCTTGTGTTCTCTTTAAGGAAGGAGAACTGAATGCAGTCCTCAGACTGAGGTTTTACAGCACAAGGGAAGAGCCTTGCCTCTTCTGCCTCAGTAGTGAATGAAGCAAGCCTGGTACTTATTTATTCACTGACTACATGTCCAGTGCATGTACTTGGGAAACATAATTTTCTAAAAATAGAGATATGTCTTTAGAAAAAGAAAATCAGCTGATACAATTAGAAAAACACACCAATGTCTTCTCACATGCACCTCCCTGAACCCTTCCACTCTTAAGCAAAACCAACGTACTTTAGCCCAGAGAAGAGAAGCTTCAGGGTGAGTGAACTGTGGCCTTCCAGTACCTGAAGGGAGCCCTCAAGAAAGATGAAGAGAAACTTTTTACGAGAGCCTGGAGTTACAGGACAGGGGGAAATGGCTTCAAACTGAGAGAGAGGAGTTTTAGATTAGATATTAGAAAAAAAATTATTCCCTGCAAGGGTAGTGAGGCCCTGGCACAGGTTGCCCAGAGAAGCTGGGAGTGGGAACACTACATCCCGGGGAGTGTTCAAGGCCAGGCTAGACAGGGCTTGGAGCAACCTGGGATAGTGGAAGGTGTCCCTGCCCATGGCAGGGGGTGGCACTGGATGGTATTTAAGGTCCTTCCCAACCCAGACCCTTCTATGACTCTGTGTTACTTAAAAGTTAAGTAATAGTTGAGATCAAATCCAAGTTGAGCTAATTTTATTTAGATGTACACCAGCCAGACTATCTCAGGCAGATAGATGAGGCTGGCAAGAAAGGCGCATATTTTAATACAGTGTACAGGTGTTTGCCATAAGCCTTCTTATCTAAAATTTGCAGCTGAGTTTGAGTTTTGTCATTCCTGCTAAAATGTGTTTGGGGGATTATGTGCTGATCTGGGTGAAGGGGAGAGGTTCAAGAGGGGGTTTGTGTTTGGGGGTGAAGGCTGAAGCTGGCATGGAGGGCACCAGGCCTGTGCTCTGCACTGCACTGGAGACCTGCTGTGTTCCAAACATGAGGAGCTGGAAGGAAAAATGTGGTTGCAGAAGTTAAAAGGCGTGAAAAGGAACTCTGCAGAGAAGTTCTCTTGGTGTCCTGAATACCAGGGATTAGATTAGGTGTGGGGGAAAGAAGTGTCTACACCTGGATTTAGGAACCAAGGTTGTATCTTTGTGGTGAAGACAGGCCAAAGAACATTCTGAACCATCTATTTTCACTGCCATCAAGTTGTAAAGATCCTGATCCTTCTCCTAGCAAAGTTTTCTCATGCTTCATAACTGTTGAGATAAAAATCCAAGGCTTTCTTATTTTTTTGGTTGTGAGTATGATCTGCTGCGTCCCTATTCGATATTTAACATATATTATTTACTAATGTCAAATCCATGCCAAACCTACTGTGGAGTAGTTCTCTTTGTACAACTCCAAATAAGCAGGAATGCTTAGGAGACACTTCACTGCTGAACAATTAAACAGGAGTTTTATATTAACTGGGATGTGTCTTTTGGAAAGAAGTTAAGTGTCATCTTTATCTTGTGAGGCTCTTTGTTTAATGGGCATGATTTTTTATTAATTGCTGTCTTAACTGACACAGCTGGAAGTTCTTGTATTGAATAGAATTGCTAATGTCGATTAATACTTTGTCTCTTCAAGCCAGGTCTTATAAGCTCTCAGAGACAAGTATTATACCCTTGATAGCTCAGCTACCTCAGGTGGCATAAAAGTAGCAGGATGGCTCCTGTGACAGTGCTGCAAACAAAAGATTTAATGAACGACAAAATAAAAGAGCTCTTTACAGAGAAAAACCGAGCAAAGGCAAGAGGTTCTTGCTCCTGCTAAAACACTACACAAAAGCGATTTACTTCTTTTGTTCTCTTCTTTTCTAGTGAATTGCTTAGGCAGGACTTTTTGGCTTCTGTCCAATTAGCTATCCTTAAGTTTGAGGTGAAGTCCCCAAGGTCCTATGAGGTGTCTTTTAACCAAATTGAGAAGAGAAACTTCTGGGCTTTTCTCCTTTTTAAGGAGAAAAAGGGTAACTTTTTTACTCTGTCAACAGGGGGCACATTCCTACAGTTGATAATGTTTGAAAAACCTAGAGCTAATCCACACTGAAATAATTTTACAGTCCCAGAGAATGAAAAGTCTAATTCTGTTTTGTAACACTCAATAATCCTGTTTATAGTCTGAAAAATGTGTGTCATGTAGCCTTGAAGGCTGGTCCTTACCAGCTGTTATTCCTTCTGAGTATTAAAATTGGGTTCTAAGTCAGCACCTCATTAAAATACCCCTAAATCAGCTCTTTCCAAGCTGATGGCTTCTAACTGGAAACTTAAATAAGTCTGTGATAAGGGAGCACCAATGCAGACATTGTGAGCAGCCTGTCATGTGCCCTGAGGTGTTTGTTTCAGAAATGCAGTAATCATGAGAACTGTCAAAATCCACTGGAGTTAAAACACTTGTTCTACTTTACCTTGCTGAAATGGCAGACTTTCCTGATAGGAATATTTAGATACCAAATCCATGGTAAAATTGAATTGCAGCCACCAGCTGGCCTCCTGAGACACTCTGTGTAACTCTGGCTGTCCTAAATACGTCCCTAAATTTGAGATTGTCATTTCCTAAAAGCTAACTCTGCCTGTAATGCTATGTGTTTACCTGCTGGCATGTCCTTCATGCCCTGAAAGGCAATTTTCAATATAAATCACTAGTCATAAACCAAAGCAAACAGTCTGTTGTGCACACACTGGGAAACACAGAAACCACTGATGTGGAATTACTGAAGATTATTTGTAATTGTTTAAAAAGGTGCAAGCTTGAAGTTGGAGGTGGGAAGGGTTGTCTGGGTAGGAAAACTTGCCATGGGAAGTGGTCAGTCAGCACAGGAGCTGGAACAGTCAGGGAACACTGACATGGGCCACGTGGGCACTTGTAGAGCGTTTGTCCTTTTGCACAATTAAATTATTTTTCCTGCTGGGAAAATTCCTTTTTTCTGTGGGTCCTATTAGTGGATTTTGGCTCCATTTGCTGAGACAGGACTGACACTGGCTCCTCCAAAGAACTGGGTAAATGAGTTCTCTCTGTCCTCACTGTAATGGAAGCCAGGAAGACAAAATACACCAGAACTTTTGTTGTCATCCCCAGCTCTGTGTGTGGGTGATGGATAATGTAGCAGAGTGCTGAACTCTATTCCTTAAGCCTTTAAAGATTTTAGTGGTATCATTTGGTGTATTAAAGTTGTAGTAAAGCTCTTTGCCATGTAGCTCTCCAAAGAAATGCAGTTTTTTACTCACTGGTAGTCTAATACCTTTCACCAGCTCTGAAGAATGGAAGAAAATATTTGGAATATACTTTTGAAAATTATGAGAAACTACATGGGAAAAAAATAAGAGGTGTAAGGAGCTTTGAGAGGCATTTCCTTTAGAGAGCTCCAGGATTTTCTGCATTGAGTGGAGGTTATGCAGTTGTTTTTATCCTAATGTTAACATATTAGGTTACAGGAATCTTTCCACTTAATTGAACAAACACAGGAGAGTATTTACGTAACTGAAGATCTGCAACTGCCAGCAGAATTAATTAGGAGAGAAATAATTAGGCAAATAGTAGTGTCCAAATGGTCCTAATAGAAAAATGTATTGCAATCCCAATAGAAATCTCATTAATGTTGTTGTTTCTGATGAGCTGTGCCTTTTGCAGTATCATAAAGGGAGGTAAATGTGGAAGGATCTCAGTGGGGTGTCCGCTTGGGTATGAGGCAGAAACAATATCAAGGTTTTAAACTGTCTGGTCTCATTATTGTCACTTAGTCATGGCTACAGCTCCACTATCTGCTTAAAAGCCTCCTGTGATTGAATGAGCCACTTTAGGGTGAAGTAGGTACAGAAGAGAACATTTCAGGTTAGTATTTGGTATGGATTTGTTGCTTCATGCATGAGAAACAAGTTGTCTCTTATGCTGAGCAGGTAACCCAGGAAAAAAATGAGACAAGTGGAGCTTATTTCAAGTACTTCTGCTTGAATGTTTCAGTTTACTGCTTCAAAGAATGGAAAAGTTAACGAGCACATTATCTTAGACTTTCCACTGTAATGTCA